AAAAAAAATAATAAATAAATAAATAAAAGTAAACACATGAATACACGTGTGCTACTGCTTATTCCTCAATTTTTATACTGAGGAGGGGCAAATTTTTCGGCTTTTGGACGGATTGAAACTTTTGTACCCGACTTTGAAGGAAGTATAAAGAAAATCCGGTGCTAAATTTGGTCGCATGATTTATAGAACTGCAACCGATCTCTGGGACAGAGACAGAGACTCAATCTCGGAATCAAGATTGCACTTTAATAACTGAGCTACAAAACAGCAAAAAAAAAAAATCAATTTTCTGGCGATATTTGTCTGTTTACATACCACTTGAGAACTCAACAGGTTTACTCAACGAGTAAGATTTTATCTATGTGAACTAATTAATGCAGGGTTACAAAGAGATTTAGTGCGTTGGGCGAGTCAGAGCTCCCCGCTAACGCATACGGAGATTTCAACGCCGGCGCTAAAAGCTAGCCGCAGCGCGCGTTGCATCGCGGTCGCAGTGTAGCAGGAGCATGCACTGTGAGCTTTAGAACGGTGATTCAATCATGAGATCATTGATAGTGTAACCTTCAAAATAATAACGACTGCGTGGGTTTCAATCGTGGCCCGGAGGCTTTTAACCATGAAAGTCCGTTCGGCGGCATCCTTCTGCTTAAATATTTTGACGCGAATCGGCTATTTTTCTTAGTTATTAATTGGCACGCACGCAGTTAAGAAATTTTATTCACCAGCTGCAGTTATTGCACTGCGCTGATTGCGAGATCATGCCCATTTGTCATACACCTCCTTTCGTAAAACGTGCGGCTCAAGAGCAACAAATCCCATTCACTCGTTTCAATTGCATACGTATATTTTTCCCGTCATCGGGGCGTTATTTTATTACTCTCGTATTTCTTGCAACTACTATAATCTTCCCATAAGAATTCAAGGCATTAATGACGGTCTAATATCATTCTCACATTGTGTCGAATAAGAGTGGGCTTTCGAGACATTTTATGACACTTGTAAAATTATGGACGGTAGTTGTGTATGTTCCATAAAATTATGAGGTTCCTTCAAATAATTCATTTTTTCTTTTTAACAGAAAAATAATATGCAGAGTTTTTCATCTTTGGAGGTTTTTATACTTACTGTCCTCGTGCCGTACTATTTTTTTTATAAAATTGATTGCTTGGTAATCATGTTACGTTGGAATTCATGCAGTCGTTAGCACAAATTTAATCCGACTTAATGTTCAGATTAAACGCCTTATGCGTGCCAATGAATGTCTATCTATTTCTCTCTAATTGTTTCGTCAGTTTTAGGTTATCATGGAGCTCCAAAGTTGGCCCAATATAAACAAACCTGACCCAGAGAAATACGTATTATCGGCTGAGAAATGAATGATAATCACACTCAAAGGTTAATTTTCAGCACAAATATCCATCAAAGTTCGATCTGGACTCAATTTAGAAGTTGGATATAAAAAAATTCTATCACATCCAAAATCACGTCCAGAACTTTGTAGAACTTTGTCACCATCTTGTTTGTTTACATTGGGCCAAACTAGGAGCGGAGGGGCTGGGGTTTGTTTACACCGGTCCAACTTTGGGGCTCCATGATAGCCGACCAATCAGAGAGTGGCACACTTTTTCTGTAGTAAAAGGATTGAGTTGGCAATACTCTCCCACTCCCGTATTCAGGTACTCTAAGACGGCGAGCTTCAGGTGAAGTAATGAGCCAAACAAGTTTACCAAACTTCGGCTTGTTTGCAGATCGAACACGGGCAACATGTTGTTAAACATCCACTAGTAGGTAGGAGTTGAATGTTGGAGTCACGAAAGTAAAAGCTGCCACCACCGCCAAGAAACCAATTGGACTGCATTTTGCAATTTGGATCTATAAATTCTGGCTCATCTGAAAAAACACTTATGTGCATAAGGAAACTAATGGCACATACGTTGTTTTTAAACCGGGCCGGAATTTATAGGTCCAAATTGCAAAATGCAGTCCAATTGAGGGTCTTACTTTGTCTCTGCTGCCCACCGTGGGTCATGTTCATAAGATTGATCATCAGGACATACTTTTTTTCATCTTTTTGTCGTACTGCCGAACTTGGCATTCTGCGCACACCCACGCTGCCGGCAGTGATCATCCATCAATATCCAGAGGCTCCATGAATGCCGAAATGAGCTCCGGAAATGTCAGGGTTATCACGTGGGCCGAGACTTCGCGGATATCCTCGCTAGGTTCTGTTCGGGAGCGTCCTGTCATAACAATAGCCCCCCCCCCCTCACTGACTAATTTTACGCAGGGTCCGGAATGGCTATATAGTCGATGGGAGTCGGTGTTCTGTCTCATGGCCGGCGGATGCTGAGATATGTCCTTAGCTAGAATTCAAGATTTCAACTGGGCTGTGTTCAGAGGAAAATAAACTTTTTATAATTCATAACCTTTAATAAACTGTTTATAATTATATTTTTAAACACGATATTTGGAATTTTTAAAGTAAAATCTACGCTAAAAAAGTTTGTAAAAAACTGCAATTTTTAATAGGATTTTTAAATTTTTTTCAAATATTCTTAGTGTTAAAAAACTACTAAAGATCTCATGAGAGATGACAATGTACGAGAATAGCCCGAATAATAAACACTAAAAACGGGCAACCAGGGCTTAAAACAACAAACACAAAGCCTGGGACGTCCTGGGGTAGTTTCAACCCCCTATTCGCCCAGGAAACAAAAATATATTAAAACGAATTATAAATAATGCCTCTGTGAGAACCTGTCCTTTTGTCATCACGAATGGGGGTCTGAGGATTTTGATTTTTATAATTATTCTACATATCTATGTGTCCTGGTTGAAGAGGGGCTTGAAACCACCCTGAAACGTCCTAAGCTTTGTTTTTGTTGTTTTTAGCATTATTGGTTACCCGTTTGTTTCTTAATCTTATATGAAATTTCTAACCTTTTTTTTACTTAAACTTTACCTCTTGTATACTTTGAGAATCACCCAGAAAATGTGTCTCCAAAACATAAATTTTAACAGTTTTTTAACAGTTGATTCTCAAAAATATACAATTTCCTTTATTTCCTTTTTTTTTAAAGAAAAAATTAACAATCGTTTGGATTGAGGTGTATATAATTTGGAACTTAATGTATGAGGCAAAAGTTCCGAAGATGAGCTGTTCAGCTGTTGAGCTACGCGTACTGTGCGTACGTGTAGTTTCTCGTGATACCAGAATGCGCTGCGCTACGTGTTACGGTGTTCCGTCACGTAACGAGCTTCCCATAGTTCCTCGCTCCACTGGCTAGTAAAGAACCTAACTCAATTCTTACATGAGCCGTAGAACTTATGAGGTCATACGAACAGCAAGGTTCATACCAAAATGTGGCTACGGATTTATGACAGCGGATCGACAAGTCGGCGGCAGAGTCCTCGCTTTGCGTCGGTGGACGTTTACGTTTACCAACTCACAATGAGACACACGATACAATAAGCAGCTCCATCAAAATGGGTCTGTAGAGGCACAATGGCCGACAGGAGAAAGGCATTGTTTTTGTGGTGAAGTTGTCAGTTGCTGAAAATTCTGGGATACATAGAGGAAATGAGCTCCTAGCTCCTGAGAGCTCGACAGTATAAATAGAGATTATCCTGGAAAAGTTCTTTTTCGATTTCCAGGAGGAATTTTTGAAAAACGAAAGAGCGTAATTCTTAACATAAGTTGATTCGCTTGACCTCTTTTTTTTATTTTTTAAATGTGGTTAAAATTGTGTAAAATGCAGAGTGACCCGACTGACTTGTAAAATTATTTTTCAAACAGTTCATCATGGAACTACAGCTCAAGGTAAAACTGAACGTTTTACTTCTTATCTAAAGTATATGCACAAAATTGGTGTTCAGTGCAGTTTTTTCAGAGATATCAGCCATGAATTTTTTCGTACGGATTTTCCCATACTAACGACACAAAAAAACAACAGCGAGTTACAAAAAAATCCATGCCTGATACCTACCTTAGAAAAAACCGCATTTTATCAATGACAGCCAAAAGCAAACTTATGATTGGTGCTGAATCTTGGGTGGTTGGCAGTAAAAAAACTGTACAGCGGTTTCTCTTATTTCTGCTCTTAATACGATGTGATTGTTTTACTATTAAGTGAGGAGAGAATCACTTTACTCCAATACGAAAATGTAACTGTGGTGTTCATGACGTTCCTTGATACGTATCGTGACGTAAAATCAAAATAACCGAATTTCATGTTGAGTTTTACGTAGAGTAACTTCTCGCAGTTCCATTCTCAGAAGAAGAAGCATCTCTGCAGTAAAGAGACTAATAATTATTCGCGGAGGAATTTATTCTGAAAGCTACCGAGGGATCGAAGTTTTGCCCTCGGGGCACCAGTAATATCCAAGAGGATTTCTCACACGTCTCATTCGTTCTGTCGTGTTACGGAAAAGAGCAGTAAATGCATTCCATTCTGAGGTGAGCCTCGAGATACGTAAGAGCATGTGCTAATCGTGGCTCTTACAGGAATGCACTTGCGGTTCTTTTCCATTACACGGCAGTGTCTTTCGCGTTTTTTCCCTGTTTCGCAACAAACGTGACGTAGAAAATCAGACATAGCGTGTACACTCCTTACCTTACCTCAGCGAGAGAGAAATATATCGACGGTGTAAGTCGGCAATCACACAACTCGGTTTGCGACGTCGCAGTCTTCCTGTCATACTTTATTTTTTAAACGGAAAACCACTCGACGGCAATCCTTTAACACTGCCGTGATTTTTCTTCTCTGTGCGAAGAAAATTCTGCAAAAGCTTCAAGGGATGATGTCAATTTATTCTCCTTTAAAAAAATAACATAGAGGGGGAGATTTTCAGACACCGCAGACGAGTTATGTGATTGCCGACTTACACCGTCGATATGAGGGTCTTAATAAGTACTGAGTAAAATTTTTTGCACCTTGTTTTGTTTATTTCTTTCAAAATTAGCATTTTTCCTCACTTCATCAATCGTTTTTTTTGTTCAGTTTCAGTGGCAGCATGACGTGAACTTGAATCATTCTTAATAAATCCAGCAATAGAATGTGTACAGCAACTACCTCCCACTTCTCTGTAAATCTTGTGCCAGGTAAGAATAATTCTTAAATTTTTAAGACTCGCCTCATAATTGGACGTATTTCTGTCAAACGGAACTATGTGCATTATGGCGTGAGCCCTATTATGCATATGTTCTTATGGGTCTCAGAGCTCATGTCTTAATGCACATAGTTCCATTCGGCAGAAATACGTCCAATTAATGGAACAGTGCTTAGGGTAAAAACTGTTTTCTTATCGATTAATCATAAAGAAGACGTTGAACCAGTGGCGGAGTAAGGCGTGAAAGATCGATTATCGATATTTTCCCGTTTGAAGATGTGTTAAAGAATCGACTATTAAGGCGTTCGTTGGGAGTACCTTGTTTATCGATCCTTTTACAAAGGTTTCAATAGCAGATCAATCGATATATCGCAAAGCACGCCACGCCACTACGTTGAACATAATATAGAAATTAATGTTCAAAGTATGAGTGAAATTAGTGATTTCAGTATACATTACTTAGAACTAGTCAATGCAACATTTTTGCTCCAGGCGTGCTTTGCGATTTATCGATTTTTGTGCATTTTAAACTAATGTATAAAAGGATCGATAAAGAGAATGTTGGTGTTCGCAGAGAAAATGATAATGCACATAGAAATGAATCTTTCATGATACCCACTGAGTTAATATGAACGAGTGCATTTTTGGCATTTTATTAACTCCCTATAAGATTTGTCGAAAATTTCTNTTAATGTTCAAAGTATGAGTGAAATTAGTGATTTCAGTATACATTAGAACTAGTCAATGCAACATTTTTGCTCCAGGCGTGCTTTGCGATTTATCGATTTTTGTGCATTTTAAACTAATGTATAAAAGGATCGATAAAGAGAATGTTGGTGTTCGCAGAGAAAATGATAATGCACATAGAAATGAATCTTTCATGATACCCACTGAGTTAATATGAACGAGTGCATTTTTGGCATTTTATTAACTCCCTATAAGATTTGTCGAAAATTTCTTAAAATTTTTTATGTTAAACGCACCCCTGTTGTTCATTAAGAACACTAAGTGTCCGGGTAGACTTTTAAATGTTGAAATGCCAAACAACTTCTGTTCGGATTCAAACGTACGGTTGGTTAGGTTACACTGGAAAAAAAAAACACATTGGATCTAGAGTCCAGACTCTTAAAAACATCGACAAGAAAAAATACTCTTGATTCGATCAGATTTAAGCTTAAATCAAGAACCAAGCCTCTTAATTTGAGCGGATTTCCTTTTGACTTAAGCTTAAATCTGATTGAATCAAGAGTATTTTTTCTTGTCAATGTTTTCAAGAGTCTGGGCTATAGGTCCAATATGTTTTTTTTTCCAGTGTAGCTCAGCAGTCACTCTGTCGATTTTTACTTGCCACCGCAAATCTAATCTGATTTTTTGTTAATTCTCTAAATTTTCGGCGAAAATTGTACACAATGTGGCAACCGCGAAAGTATTCTATATACGGTGTAACCATGGTCTCACAATTTCGTCCTCCGTCCTGTAATATTATGGTTCGTTCGGCGTGTAGGAGTGGAGCTTACGTCGGCCGTCAAACGAGAGACACGGAGCTGTGCGGTTCCATCGTTGATCTAATCGAATTACAAGCCTTCTTTCGATCGACTAATTAACCGCGGTACCGCGAACCATAAGACTATAAACTAATTAACATCAAGAGCCGGTTCGCTATCGATTTGACGTATGGCGCTGATATATCCAGTCATAAGTTGATGATTAATTAGATAACGAGCATTACGGGAAGTGTATCGTATACCCCTCGTAGATGTTCGGGAATTTAGGATGCAAACTAATCTCAACGGGGAGAAATTTTTAGGGCTAACTATAAACAGCATCATCTGTAAGGTACTTATGAGGAGCTTGGAGGACAAGGCGCATAAGTGCAGTTTTTGCTATATTTCGAGAAATACGTGTTTGAAGTTTCAAAATTACATGGATTCTTACAGGAAAGGAATTTCGAACCGACTTTTTGATGCTAAAAAATTGGAATTTGGGAGTGAATTTTCCACAGTACACGCATTCAGACTATAGTTTTACTCGTAATAATTCATATCCGAATTTTTTCAAAAATTGTACTTATGCGCCTTGTCCTCTAAGCCCCTCTTATGAATTTTCAAACTTCCTTACATCTTCTCTACATCGATTGACATGGAGTACTTGAGAACCCCCTGGGCGTTACGTGGCCCAACCCCAAAAGGATGCTTTGAGCCCTCGAAAGGCCACTTTCATGCGTCATATTAAAAAATGTTAAAGAGGATGGTTTAATCTAGAGGTTATATATCGCCAATAGTCACTAAAATCATGAAAATTGGCTCATCAGCGAACGAATGACGTTCACCCACGTCACATAATCTGTCACGGATTACGAATCGGACCGTTGCGGTCGCACAAAATTTCGGGACTCAACACATAATTAATTACTTTCAAACTGAAGTGGATTACATTTATATTAAATTAATAGATTACGCTACTTCAGAGTACTATGAAAAAGGGTTTATTATTCGTAAATGCGAGAGTGAAATTATTCAATTGAACATGAAATACCTAAACTATATGCAATCCCGTTACGGATTTATTACGTCACGTTCCGAATCTCGTTTTGCGCTCCAGAAGGAATGGCAAAAAATGGAATCCGCACTAATTGAATGGGAAATTCACAAGTTCATCGCGTAACATAAAAAAACATGAGTCATACCTCGAGCATTAATAAAGCTCATATGGTCACAGAGATTTTATTACCGGCCGAAATCAGCAAAAATCATGAAATTCGTCAAATAGATATTTAAAACGAACCAAGACCAAAAATTTAAATTTCGGGAGTCGGAAAGCTTCTCTAAATGATAATATGACCGGGATGTGAGTTTCATCTGATGCGTAAGCTCAATCACTCTTATGTTGAAAGTTTGCAACAGCGCCGACCTCAGTCCGGCCACGTTTCGGATCGAAATGGAGACAATCACTCTGTAGGCGCGTCTTCACGCCCCACTGAAGTTTTAATGCTATAGTCAACGGAATATAACGATCTCAATTAATTTTTTCCTTTCGGTTCATGTGTACTGTAGGAATTAAATAATAATTTTTGCAAGGACTAGCGCGTAGTATGTGGATTATTATTTTATCATGTATCTTAACCCCATTTTGACTCATGAACGAAAATCTTTAAAATTTTTGGATGCGAATTAATAAAAAAAGAAGAAGAAGAGGAAAATAAAAAACAGTATCGATAGAAGTTTGTCTGTACGAATTAATTGTAGATTTTAGAAGTCTCCTTCCCGGAAATAAACATAGCTGACGCAAATTCAATAACTTGTTTTTCAAGAGCGCGAAACACTCTTACTGTCCCACTTCCCAGTGAAAATTAGAATGGAGTTTCCTCTAAATGTTTATTAGTCAGTTGAAGATTTGGAAGTATTGTTGATGAAATTCATGGATCATGGAAACAAAGTAGCTAATATTCGGCATTTGTTTCTTGTTTTGTTAAAAAATATTCTGAGGCGTCCATCCCAAAACTGGGAAAGACGACAAACAATAGCTGAACAAGCCTCCGGAACTGTTCGCTGACTTTCATGGCTTTCAGTGGCGAGGCGTCAATGATCTATTATCGATATTTTCTGATTTGAAGCTGTGGTAAAGAATCGATTATTAAGGTGTTCGTTGCGAACACCATATTTATTGATCCTTTTTCATAGGTTTAAATGACTGATCAATAGATTTATCGCATAGCACGCCACGCCACTGATGACTCTTAGTTCCTGAGTTCATCCCAATGTATTTTTAATAACAGTACGACTTCTTAACTTTTAGTTCCAGCTTTGGTATATTTCGACAAAGTGAATAAACAACAAATAAGCACATCTTCTGATTTTTGCTATGTTATTCATTTTTCAATTATACTTTTATTGCATAAAATCAGGGCCGGATTAAGGGGGTGGTCACATGCGGGCCGCGACCCATGGCGGCAAATTTTTCAATTTTTTTAAATGTAGGTATAAAACAAAATCGGATTTAGAAAAAAAAAATTACAAACGAGAAAAGGCTACAAAATCTCTTATTTCCTGAGAGTATAGTAATTTCTAATTTTGTCGTCTTTTAGTGATACACGAGACAGCGCCTTTAATTAGTCGAGTTCGGAGAGAAACCAACACACAATTTGGCCGGGAACGGCGCGACTTACGGAGAAATAACGACGAGGACTTGAGATGAAAAGGAGAAGCCCTCGGCAAGTAACACATATTAGCGCCTACAAGACTGCACGAATACTTCACGCATTGCATCAAACACAGTGCGGTTATTGTGGTCAGCGTGAAACGGATAGCGCCTACAAGGATGCATGAATACTTCACGCATTGCGCCAAACACAGTGCGGTCAGCGTGAAACGCATAGCGCCACAAGACTGCGAGAATACTTCATGCATTGCGCCAAACACGGTGCAATCGGCGCGGCGCGGCAGCGGAAGTTAAAATCGTTAAACTAAATGTGTTTGTTCTTTCATAATTTTTTCGTTCATTTCTTATGAATGGAAGGCCTTGTCCATCAGAGATAGGTTTACGAAACTTGACTTTCGCGCAAAGTTCCGTGACCTTTTGCTAGTAGTGTTGACAGGGTTTTACCAAAATATGTGTTCAACACGAGTAAACACGTCTTATGCACACCTCCCCCGCTGGCACGTTCACTTGATGGTTTTTATTGATGTTTCAAAACGAATGAGAAGGAGGCGGCAAAATACAGGCGGCCCATGGGCAGCAAGTAGGAAAACCCGGCCCTGCATAAAATAGAGAACTATCAGGTGCCTGAAATTTGATGAATTTCGTGTTTTAGTGGAAACTAATGAGTGAACTGAACAATTATTGGAGAAGATATGACAAATTGATCTAATCTGCTGAAATACGCGTGTTTAAATGGGAAATGCCGCCAGATGACGTCACTATGCGTGGCACCTTCTCACTTTTAAATCCATTTTTATATTGTTTCCCATATCAGAAAAAAAATATACAAAATACTGTGAAATCAGCTCTTTCAGTTTTTTCAGATGAAGCAATAAAAAAAATTGCATGCAAATTCTCCATTGTTGCATAAAGTTGCCGTCAGATCGCACTACCGCGCCTCATCGCAAAATTATCCAAGCGTCTCTTCGTCAGTCAATCGGTCATCAGCACAAAAAAGTATTGAGTAAGACCAGCACGGCTGTAGCACTGCCTGCGGGCCGATTATTGAAATTTAAACCAGCCCGATAAGACATCGAATTGCGATATATTGCATGGTTAAGATAGGGCTATGTCTTGTCGTGTCGGGCTGACATAGTTTCAGTAATCGGGCCGCTGGTTCAGCATGTTCAGTATCTCTCGGCTCCTCTCGACTGAGGAAGAGCCTCACGACCCCCACCAACTCGGGACCCCAGAAAAAAATAGGTGCGCCTCCGATAGACGTAATGACAGTCGATGTTAATCGCAGCTGAAACCATTCTTCGTTATTTCATCTTCCCAGCCTTGGCGCCTGCTCTTGCAGTGTCTTCCTCCATCGTTGCGTCGGGAGCGTTTTTAAATAGCCGAACGCAGAGTCGCGGTGATACTGCAAACCATCCAGTTCCACCGAATTGTTGAAGTAATTGAGGTATATACCCGAAAGCCCGATCGAGTTTCTTCGTGTATAACTAGTTAGGCAGCAGCCACCCGTCTTATTTTATTTTTTTTCCCTCTCTCTCTTGGTCGTCAACTTTTAGGGGGAGTTTTTTTAGGATTGGGCCGGGGTGGCTACCGCCATCTAGAACAGCACTTATTCATATGATGCTTGCCACGACCTTTTTTGTGTTACTGGTAGTATACCATTGTGTCCTAAAAGTTCCCTGGCATTCGAATCCCATCTAAATTTTGAAAATCTTTAGCGTGAGACGTCAAATTTACGGAATGTCCGCTCTCCTATTATACCTGGAGGGTTTCCAAAATTTTGAAGCAAAAAATTTTCCTCCCTTCAAAATGGCGATATCTTTTATTTAAGAAAGTATTCGTCCTGATTCGTTTCCCTACGCAAAATTCACGTGAAGATTTCATAAATTGTTAAAATAGTTACGGGCCATACAGACTTACCGTCCGTTTCGGGCTCAGAGGTCGAAAGTTCTGGGTGCTGCATCAGTATAGCTTTTTCTGTTCCAGGCTCAGTAGCCGAAATAACGCTGCCCAAGATATCGAAGAGAGCCGCAATAGGTGCAAAAAGTAAGTTTTGACAAAATTGGCTCAGTAGCTCCCGAGCGGAAAATTTTATTGAAAGAAAGCCTTCGTTCTTTGTCAAATTGCCACAAATTATACGTTTTTGATGCTTTAAAAATTATACGTCATTTGCTGTTTGAGCTATTTCAGTGATTTCATCTAAAAGAGAGGTGACGAATTTTGAATGACAGTTACGGCTCTCTTCGCTATCACGGTAGAACGGGCGAGACACCCGGAACTTTCGACCTTCAAGCCCGGAGTGGACGGAACGCCTATATAGGGTGATCCAGGGTCAAACAACCAGACAGCAGGAGCGTGTTCTATGGTTTAAAATAAGACTTTTTTGTTGTATAAAGTTTTTTTCCAAAAGTTCCCCCGATCGGAGCTACGGCCTACCCAAATATCCCGGGAAGTAAATAGTTGTTCCTGAATTTTGGCAACGGTTGTGAACCAAATCTCATGAAAATTCGCACTTTCCTGTGCGTTTATGTCCTGAATTCATAAATGATCTAAAAAAAAATTAATTCTCAATTTTGGGGGTGTTTCGGCTCCTGCAGTCTGGCCGCTTAACCCTAGAGTACCTTTATAGACAGAGTATGGCCATTTCTGTTCCGGTTTTTCATTGGTCGCGAGCGAATAGGCTGACACGATGCTCTTAGGGCCGTAAATAAACAACCAAGATGGCCGTTATCAGCAAGCAAGATTGAGGTTATGCACATCTTACATCCTCCTGTGATAAAGGTGAAAGGCAATTTAACAATGTTTTCATGTGTTTTTCGTGTGCTATTCGTAGATATGCTCGTTTAAATTGTTACTGCCGCATACTTGAAATTTTTGTCAAATTTAGCTTCTCATCGATGTTACGGTGAGCCGCCATCTTGTTTGTTTATTTACGGCCCTAAGAGCATCATGAAGCCTAAAAACTCGTTGACCAATCAAAAAGCGGAACAGTTTTCCTGTGGTAAAAAGATACGAATGGCCATACTCTGTCTATAAAGGTACTCTACTTAACCCTGGATCACCCTGTATAGTCTGTAGTTTTTACAGTGTGATGACGTCTATAGATTTTTAGGAGGTGGTGAGCGTGAGCGGGTTGGGCTTCGACCTCTTCGGGGTATCGGTGACAGAGGGCGCTCCTTGAACTCCGGAGCTGCCTTTTGGTAGTCTTTTATTGCCTTTGCACAGCTTTTGAGAGTCTCCACGATTCGACCGTCTGGATCCCCGGGCTTTGGTAGATCCACCACGCAGTTCTCCTTGTCAAGGCAGCGTGGATTTGAAGTTTCTGGACAAAGCTTCCTCTCATCATTGGGCAACTTGTTGAATGCTCCCACGGCTAGCTGACATCTCCAATGCCTTGTCATGTCCGCCAGGGTGCTCCTTTGGCTACAAGGATTTTCTTTCAGGAACGCCAGCACGACGTAGCGATTCGCCTCATACCACTTTTTATACTGCGGAGCGTCAAGAAGAAAACATCAGGATCGAGATATCGATGGCTAAAGCTGCCGTGCTTGGGAAGAATGCCGTATGAGCCTCCATACGCTGCCAATTTTCCTTCGATAAAATACGAAATTCCTGGAAAACTTGTGAATATTTTCCTACCAATTTTTTACAGGATTTCTACCGCGAATTAATCTGGAGTATCTGAAAATTTCAAGGGAAAACATTCATAACTCTCCTCAAAAATAAACAACGAATTGAAGGAAATTTGGCAACTCTCGGATGTTCGTACGGCGTTTTTCCTTAGCACGGCAGAAAGTGTGACCCACGTATATCCATTGAGGTGTTTTAAAATCTCCGCTCCTAGTTTATTTTTCAGAAGAGAACAAGTCATTTTTCTAGCTTAAAATTGATACAGAATATCTGCTAACAGAGAGGAGAAATGAAGAAACTTTTCAAGAAATTATATGCCGACTATTTTTCGAAAAAATTTAAAGTATGGTTGGAAATTTGCAACGTCGCAAGCGGAGATACGCGGTATCGCTCTTTTGCCGTCGACATGATCGAATCGGGATATGATCAAATGTTCAAAACACGTCTCACGGAAATTGACGAAATTTAGTCGACGATAGCTTTAAAAAACAAACCCTTAGGTACACCACAACTTTCGGTGTAATTTTGGCCCAACCCCATTTCGGAGCCTCTACGTTACTCTGTGAATTCAATGTAACATGGCGTGACGTCTGTATTATTCCGCCTACTGCTCTGACGTCGATTCGAATTTTGCAAACCTTTCTCCGAGCTCCGAGTTTTCAATTTCTGCATTCATAGTGGCGCGCTCAAAAAACCACAGTAACTCATTCCGAGAAGCCGAATTTACCCAAGCCTCTTGTACGATTTATTCCAGAGGCCTCAGTGGGGTATTTTAATATTTTATTTTAATTTTTAGCTATACGAATTAATGGTCACTGCTAAAATTGTGCTGGTTTGGGAAATAATGAGAGAAGTTAGAGTACCTGTACACAGGAGGGTATTGTCAATCTCTGTCCCACTCTCTGATTGGTTTATCAGCTTTAAATTATCATGAAGATCCAAATTTGGCCCAATGTAAACAAACCCGACCCAGAGGAATACGTATAATCGGCTGAAAATGAATGATAATCACACTCAAAGGTCAATTTTTGGCAAAAATACCCATTAAAGGTCGATTCCGAACTCAATTTAGAAGTTGATCATAAAGAAATTCTATCACATCCAAAATCACGTATAGAACTTTGCAGAGCTTTTTCACCATCTTGTTTGTTTACATTGGGCCAAACTAAGAGCGGAGGGGCTGGGTTTTGTTTACAATGGTCCAACTTTGGGGCTCCACGATAGCCGACTAATCGGAGAGTGGCACACTTTTTCTGTAGTAAAAGGATTGAGATTGCAATACTCTCCCGTATGCAGGTACTCTAGGAGAAGTTAGGCACATTTTGATTGCTTCCTTCCTAGTAATTATAATAATACTAAATCAAATGCATTTTCTTTTGTTGACTTACGCATGTTTTTGTGGTCGAGCGTTTTAACTGAACCAGGGAAGGTTTAACCGCAGAGGTACTCAAAAACATCTGAAGAACGATGATGACCTCTAAACTTTTCACTAACATCATCGCGTCAAAGAGCCCCGTGGTCCACCCATGCACTAATTAAATCGATGTCATTAAATTTTTTTGCGTCCGACTCAAAAATGCATTTTATATGGAAACGTAACGGCGGATGTTTTACGATAATTTCACACCATCACTGTTAGACAAAGACTTTGGCGAACGTAAAAATGGCAAGTGACGAGATCCTCACTCTGCATGCTCGCTCGCGAGGGGGATTTACAAAAACTAGGAGAAGCGAGTTGAAAATAAAGAGCAGAAAACTTTCATAGAGTCCCGCTAAGTGGAAATGGCATCGGTACAAACTGCAAAAAAAAAACCTGCAGGCTGTTTTACCCAGAATCCAGCGCAGTCAATGGATTCAAATCGGGATAAAACTGTTGCCAAATCTGCCGTGCTAAGGAAAAACGCCGTATGAACCTTCAGGCGCTGTCAAATTTCCTTTGATAAAATACGAATTTCCAGGTTTTATGAATATCTTTCTTCTAATTTTTCAGATAATAATTGTTCGCAAGTTCACTTTAAGTTCCTGAAAATTTCAATGAAAATTGTTCATAACTTTTCTCAAAAATGAAAATGTTAAAGAAGGAAACTAGGCAACTCTCGAACGCTCATACGACCTTGTTTCTTAGCACGGCAGAACTTGCGATTGATCAAATGAAAAAAAATCATATTTACGTCACATAGAAGAAGGGGGAGAAATAGAGAGGGAAGGAAAAAGTAACCAATTAAGCGGAAAAATGGAACTGACAAAAGTCGGAAAATCCCCGAGCATACGTCATCCGTTCACGGAATGAAGCACGTGGAAATCAACCTCGCCCTCCTCCAAAATTCTGTTCTTCAACCGCCTTAAAAGTTTCAATCTTTACGGGTGGAAAGTACCCGCATGTTCCTAGAATTGTGAGACTTGGATTTTTGGAAATTTGCTTCCAGGACTTTATGTCCACCTACCTTTAATCCATTAAATAAATGTCCTCCGCTATTAATGTCCACTGAACGTTAAGTCCAGTCTTTATTAAGTCCACATGATTTAATGTCCAACCATGAATATGTCCAAAATTGTCCAAATTGTGGATATGTTATGTCCACATTTTTTTCTTCTCATTTAAATGACAGGAACCACCTCAAAAATAAATGCATACAACTACTACCTTCATTCTTAAAAACATTTCATTCATGAATAAAGTCATGAAAAGGAACAGTCTCTAAGAGCAGATAAAAATATATGTTCATGTGTACACTGTACGGATATGATAAGATGAAAACCAAAGCGGGAGCCTAGGAAACGCTCCAATGCCAAATTAAACATTTTTCAGTAACAGATGCAGTCNATCATCGCGTCAAATAGCCCCGTGGTCCGCCCATGCACTGATTAAATCGATATCATTAAATTTTTTTGCGTCCGACTCAAAAATGCATTTTATATGGAAACGTAACGGCGGATGTTTTACGATAATTTCACACCATCACTGTTAGACAAAGACTTTGGCGAACGTAAAAATGGCAAGTGACGAGATCCTCACTCTGCATGCTCGCTTGCGAGGGGATTTACAAAAACTAGGAGAAGCGAGTTGAAAATAAAGAGCAGAAAACTTTCATTGAGTCCCGCTAAGTGGAAATGGCATCGGTTCACAAACTGCAAAAAAAAACCTGCAGGCTGTTTTACCCAGAATCCAGCGCATTTCAATGGATTCAAATCGGGATAAAACTGTTGCCAAATCTGCCGTGCTCAGGAAAAACGTCGTATGAGCGTTCGAGAGTCGCCTGATTTCCTTCTTTAATATCTTCATTTTTGAGAAAAGTTATGAACAATTTCCATTGAAATTTTCAGGAACTAAGGTGAACTTGCGGACAAAATTATCTGAAAAATTGGAAGAAAGATATTCATAAAACCTGGAAATTCGTGTTTTATCAAAGGAAATTTGACAACGCCTGAAAATCGGGATAAAACTGTTGCCAAATCTGCCGCGCCAAGGAAAAACGCCGTATGAACCTTCAGGCGTTGTCAAATTTCCTTCGATAAAACAAGAATTTCCAGGTTTTATGAATATCTTTCTTCCAATTTTTCAGATAATTGTGTTCGCAAGTTCACCTTAAGTTCCTGAAAATTTCAATGAAAATTGTTCATAACTTTTCTCAAAAATGAAAATTTTAAAGAAGGAAACTAGGCAACTCCCGAACGCTCATACGACCTTTTTTCTTAGCACGGCAGAACTTGCGATTGATCAAATGAAAAAAAAAAATCATATTTACGTCACATAGAAGAAGGGGGAGAAATAGAGAGGGAAGGAAAAAAGTAACCAATTAAGCGGAAAAATGGAACTGACAAAAGTCGGAAAATCCCCGAACATACGTCATCCGTTCACGGAATGAAGCACGTGGAAATCAACCTCGCCCTCCTCCAAAATTCTGTTCTTCAACCGCCTTAAAAGTTTCAATCTTTACGGGTGGAAAGTACCCGCATGTTCCTAGAATTGTGAGACTTGGATTTTTGGAAATTTGCTTCCAGGACTTTATGTCCACCTACCTTTCATCCATTAAATAAATGTCCTCCGCTATTAATGTCCACTGAACGTTAAGTCCAGTCTTTATTAAGTCCACATGATTTAATGTCCAACCATGAATATGTCCAAAATTGTCCGAATTGTGGACATGTTATGTCCACATTTTTTTCTTCTCATTTAAATGACAGGAACCACCTCAAAAATAAATGCATACAACTACTACCTTCATTCTTAAAAACATTTCATTCATGAATAAAGTCATGAAAAGGAACAGTCTCTAAGAGCAGATAAAAATATATGTTCATGTGTACACTGTACGGATATGATAAGATGAAAACCAAAGCGGGAGCCTAGGAAACGCTCCAATGCCAAATTAAACATTTTTCAGTAACAGATGCAGTCACAATTGGACTGCATTTTGCAATTTGGACCTATAAATTCTGGCTCATCTGAAAAAACACTTATGTGCATAGGATAGCTAATGGCACATACGTTGTTTTTAAACCGGGCCGGAATTTATAGGTCCAAATTGCAAAATGCAGTCCAATTGAAAGTCCTCTTTGACTAGTTATTTCGTGCGCCTTCAATCTTGTAGGATACTGTGCAACGCCCCTGACGCGAAATAGTTGCTTAAAGCGTTGCGGCGCGGCAGGCGACCAGCGTGACACGCGCACACGCGCCTACAAACCTAACGGGATACTTCAAGCGTTGCGCAATGCGTGAAGTATCCCGTTAGGTTTGTAGGCGCCAGTGCGCGTTCTGCGCTGCTGACACGCCGCTCCGCTCTGTGTTAGGCTCTAATGACGACTAGGCTCTGTGACGAAAAGTCTGTGGACGTAAAAAAAGTGGACATAAATTCCTTGTACCGTTTGCTTCGGATCGAGACTAATATAGTCTCCATTGCTTAATTTAATCCGATGAAAATATTGTCTTATTTTTTTTCCAGCCTCGAATTCTGCCGAGGAGGATGGACCGTTGGTGGTATTTTCCTTCTTAGCACCAAAAAAACGGACGAACTTTGGTCAAGATTTGGAGAGAGAGCATGCCTTGTACAAAGCCACCTTGGAAAATCATCTTCCAAGATCGCTGATTTTGGGCTCAAGAGAGGAAGGAGGTAATGTATGAACTTTTCCTTTATTTTTACCGCAGATTTTTTCCTGCTGACTGATGTACTAACTTTGGGGCTTGAAGCGTTGTAGAAAAATAGTCACAAGCAGAGTAAAGAGGCCTTGAAAGTTTCACTTAGCAGGAATCTTCGGTAACTTGTGCCACAACGTGACGTCACGGCGGTGCAATGACGTCTACCTCGGCGATTAGTCATCGCGGAATGCCAGAGACAGCGGTAAAACATGCCGTGCTGAGGAAAAACGCCGTATTAACATTCAGCCGTTGCCAAATCTTATCCGATAAAAATGTATATTTTTCAAGGAAAGAATGGAGACTTTTCCATAGAATCAATAAAGAAGATTTTCCAAGAAAATGTTGAATAATTTAGATGATGTTCCGGATGACATTCTTTTGATAATTGGAAGAAAAAGATTCGCAAGGTTTCTGAAAAACCGATTTTTAGCAAAGGAAATTCGGCAATCGGGAGGTTTATACGACATTTTCCCATCGAGTTTTTTTGGCTGGTTTCTGTTTTATGCTTTTTTGAGGAAGATAAAATGGTACATCAACAGGATGAGAAGCTTTAAAAAATTAAATATTTATTTCAGGAATAAATTAAAAGAAAAAATTACATGAATTGGATGAAATAAAATAGCCTCTGTAATAGAAAGGTTATAGATTTAAGAGGGGAGGGGGATCCAGTACGAAACTCAAGTGAGCCACCACCACTCATTATGACAACTCAAAACCATAGATTCAAATTCCAATCGGTGGCTGGTACAAATTACAAAGGAGATCATGGACGTAGCAAGACTGAAGATATTAGGACTTCTCTACACGGATGATGGAGCAGAAACTCTGAGGCAATTTATTGGATTTGGTAAATGTTGGATTGATATATTTCTGTTCCAGTTGCCTATCCTGTGGTTCATTTGTGCGATGACAGGGCTATTCTCTCGTCCTCACTGACGGCTGAGACCAGTCTGGAGGATCAGTTCATTTTACGTCAAGGTACGTGCTGCTGACGTCGTACACAATATGACGGAAACTATTGGGAATTTTGAAGAATGTGGCTCAAAAGAAACTTGTTCCACTTGTTCCTCTTGTTCCACTCTTTACCTATACAAGGCACAGTGTAACGAAAATAATAGATTAATTTTGCAATTTAGTGGAGTAAAATTCCATTTTTTCTACCGTGAAATAGCAATATGTGTGTATCGTTTAGTAAAAAAAGAAATCGATTTTAAAGGAACAATCGAGTGAATACCACGTGGGACTGAAGTAGTAGACAATTTGCAACGCAGAAAATATTGCAAATTATTTCAATTTCATTACAATAAATTTCAATGAAAAGAGCCCTTCCAAGCAATGAATAGATAACATATGCGCAACTCCAGCAAGGTAACAATAACTTCAACATGTAATTTAAATTATTTGCAATCTCTGCTATTAGGGTACCTTTATTTTGGATAATTGTAAGTGAGAAATGTCATTTCAACTTTATTCATAAATGTTTTTATTACTATTTTAATTACATCTTGTTGTGTCTGTATGCAGGGGTGTATCGGGAAATTCGTAGTATCATCGTTGAGAACGACTTTGAGTCGCTATCTGCTCCTCTCACCCCACGAAACACAGCTCATCTCCTCCTTGGCTTCAAGAGCGTCGAAAATAGACTAAGTCAGGTAAAAAATCGTATCTCCTCAAAATCAGAAAGAGTTTTCATGCAACCGAGCACATATATCGTCGCTTCTCTAACGCAAAGACGTATCTCAATTTCTGCGTCAGCCCCAGAAATCATGGATTTTTGTGGGAAGCTAGGTTCACGTGAAAATTGAGGTATACCTATACGCCAGAGGAGCGACAATATTTGTAGCCATTAATTTTTTTGCATGTTCTTTTCCACAGTGCAGCCAAATTTCCATCGAAAAGATGGCTTATTCATCACTCCACTAACATACCCTCAGAAGGTTAGCTTATGCACAGACAAAAATGTCAATACAAAAGTTTGGTTGATACGCGAAGTAAAATAAAAAACCCTAGCCTTCAGTCGACGATTTCAAGAGAAACTGCTAGCAAGTTTTCTTGAGGAAATTTAATAAAAAAACAAGTAGTGTTTATCCACGTCACAATGGGAAGAATGAATTTTCCCAGTCTCTCCATCGTTTTCTGCGCTAAATTCCCCGCAAACTGCACCAAAATCAACACAAAATTTGTGCTGGTTTGTGTTTCACTTTCCTATGTTAACCAAAAGTAATACAAGAACCCAAATATGTTTATCAGTGTAGCTGCAAAGTACTTAATTAAATAGAACCATGTCCAAGTAAACTTATATGCTCGATTCAAAATTTATTCTGGTATTGAGATTTGGATGATCATATCAGGGAAGAATTTTCGTTCCTGATCTTTTTCTGACCTTTCGATTTCTCCTGAATTCAGTCAGAGCAAATATTGCAGACAGTGCTATTCTTTACTTCTCATGACGTGACTGCATAATTATTTTGTCATGGTATATGTAACATGCAGACAATAATTAATTTTTTCATGAAATTTTAGCCTGTTACCCGCTTTTTAATTTTTTTTTTTTTTTTTTGTGTATATCTTGTCACGGGCTGCGGAGTGTCAATCATGATCATGTCTCATGTCATGTCACATGTAGTTTTTACCTTATAAACTGATACATGACATCAGCAAAAAAAATAATAAAGACTGGAATCGGAACTTTGACGTAAACGAGGTTTGCGGATCCCTCCAAAACAGATTGTCTAGTTGCATATCGATGGTAGAACTAGAAAACCCCCGTACCTCTTTCGCCTTGTGTTTCAATATTTCCTTTTAAACCTACTTCATTTCTTCAAGAGAGTATATTCTTATACAATTATTTATGAAATTTTCAAGGAGGTATACATATAGTACTATTTGACATTCTCATCAAGGGAAGCCTAAAAATACAATGAAAAGAATGGGGATAATTGAAATAATAGACAGGCAAATTAGACTGAGCCGCGTAGGAAGGAAGAGCCAAGTCTTTTTTAGATTACAATGAGAAAACTCATTCTTTCAAAAAGCTCGATGTATAAATGGATATTATGATACGGATGGTGTAATTTTTTGGCAGGAAAAAATGAAATGAAGGTTGAGATCAAAATTGCTCTTAACTCAATTGTAAGTTAAAAATTAAATTGAATTTAGTCCGGTTAAGCTTAACCGAAGTTTACCTCGATTACGCGGTAATTCGATTTAACTTGTTTATAATCAGTTCCAAATCGGTATATTTTTTTTTAAAAAAACTCATAAATTTGTTATTCCTCTCCTTTTTTTTCAGGTTATGGTAGATACATGGAAGGACTGGACGGGTGCATTATACATTTATATGAATTTACCGGAGGAATTTGGTCTGTCTCGAATCCGGTTTTTCCTGCGAGAGGCGCCAAACAGTCTCTCTCTATTCACGTACATTGTGCTCGTTGAGTGTTGTAACGTCATCGATTCTGAGCGAGAGGTAACCATTGTAAAATGGCATCAAATGCATTTGTTTCTTGTTGCTTACAAAGAGAGAGAAAGAGGGAAATGAATGTAGTTTTAAGAGGAAAAGTTGCACTGGAAGAACGTGCTCAATAGAGATGGGAGAGAAATCTAAAATTTGCAGAACATGGATTTCAGATTTGTTCGACGTGCTTGTCGAGATTCTTGGGCGGTTTTGTAGGTTAAAATTGTACGATATTGATTTGTTCGTATATCTTATGTGCTACAGACCCAGATGTTTGAAATACACGCATCCACTTCATTTGTGAAAAATCGAACTTTTACACCACTATACGTCTTATGTTCAGTCATTCTGATCTCACAAATACTTTAAGTCTTCTCATTAATTGGACTACATTTTGCAATTAGGAACTATAAATTCCGGCTCGGTTTAAAAACAACGAATGTGCCATTAGTTTCCCTATGCACATAAGTGTTTTTTCAGATGAGCCAGAATTTATAAGTCCAAATTGCAAAATGCAATCCAATTGTGCTTAGCATGTACTACACATCGGGAGGCTTTTGTTTCTTTGGAATTCTAATAGTGGCTTGGTGCATATCCATGAACCTTTCCTCATGTGTATGTTTGCAAAGATCAAACTTTTGAATTGAAAAGCCGACGAAATTTTATTCAAGTGGCTCAAAAATTTAATTTACTCTTTAGAAAAAAGAGACCTAAAAATTCATGCAGAACTTGCTTTCTTAATGTTATCTATACGATTTTTAAGTTTTTCTCTGCTTGGCATGTGTTTCAGATGTTGTTACTGGACTTTGTGAGACGAATGAGAGTAGAGAAAATGGCTGGATTCATTTCACTGTATAAGATTTCTCAGAGTTGAAGGACGTCAATGCTCATCCGCCTACCTTACTAATTCATTTATGGAGGGAAAATGAAATTTCAAAATTCAAACGGCATTTAACCTCTCACACATAAGACTTTTCATAGTCTTGAAATTTAAAATGTTTATAATGAATATTTTGTCAGTTCGAATTACAAGTTCCCCCACCCCACCATTTAAAATCAATAATTATGAATGTAAGTATGTACAAAGTTCATCACATTGACTGTAAATACTTTTACTTTGATATAAAAGAAGTTTTGAAAATCAAAGAATTTTCTTATTAACCTTTCATATATCTTACCTTCTCCATTTTTCCGAAGCATTTTAAAAGGTGGAAGGATCCTTTAATGATTTTAAATACGTTTATCATTATTTTTGTGGATGCAAGACCTAGGTCGGGAGTCGTTTTCTGTTGCAATATAACAACATTCGAAGTAACTTGCCGTCAAGAAGTCTCTGTCCAAAGATTTACGAGATTAAGAGTTCAATAAATATGTTTCTATGTATTACTTGAGAGCGCAAAAACCTAAATGAAGGAATATCGAAACAACTATGAATTCATTTTATCGGAAAATTTATATTGCAGCAATAAAAATTAGCAACAGTTTGTTTCTTTGGCTCATATGACAACGCTGTATTGAGTTGAAATGTAAGAGAAACATTCAGTGCGTTCTCAGTCACAGCTAGTGTAGTATGCGACAATGCAATCTGGTATCTGGATGCAACCATTCGAACTTCATGGATGTCCGTGTTGCATACGCACGAAAGGGAAGGCGTTTTGACGTTCCTTGCACTCACCGCTTCAACCGCGGCCCGTGATGCGGCAACGCCAGGAGAGGGCTGCACCTCGGGGATCTAATATGATAGACACATAGAGTACATAGAGTCGTAATGTAAGAGGGAGAGCTGGCGCCATGTCCTGCTCGACGAGTTCCGAGCCCGGTGTGCGGGGTCACTTTTTCGATCCAAAATGGCGGAGTGGAATATGGCCGGGTCCCCGTGTATCGCAAACAATCGATTATGTATCGATAAAGGGACCCGGCGCCGTACAGGAATCTCGGAATTCGGGACCTGGAAAATGCTTAAAAGTGGCGCCAGCCCTCCCACTTGCATTACGACTCTATGTATGGATAGACAGCCCTCAATTCTTCAGGGGACAGGGGTGCCCCTATGGAGGCAAATCCGGGGGCGGCCGCCCACCTGGCCCCTAAGGAGCCAAAGCCGGGGGCCGCCCACCTGGCAACTAAGGAGCCTAAGAACGAACGTTATCAGATTTCACGAACAAAAAAAGCTCGAGAGGCGTCATCGTTTAGTGAACGGAAGTAGTTGTAAGTCAAGGTAAAAGAAACGTAAGGCATATGATCCGCCCGACCACTCGAAACGCAGCTTCTTTTTCTCGTCACTAAAGCCGCGGCGCCAGATTTGAATTGAGAGGCTTGGAAGAGAAGCGGATTGGTGCTGTTTTTGAAAAATTGAGATATTAATGATTTCAAGTGAAACTAGTCTGAATGCAAGTTCTGTGAAAAATTCGCCCCCAAATTCCAATTTTTAAGCATCGAAAAGTCAATTTCAACTTTCTTTCCGCCATGAGGATCCACGAAGTTCCGAGACTTCAAACAAGAAATTCTCGAAATAGCAAAAACTGCACTTATGCGCCTTGTCCTCGAGGCCCTTCAATTTCAACAACTTTGCAGTCACACCTGAAAACAAATATGACCGTCTGCTGTTGATGTAAACTAACAATACAAGAAAATTTGTGAAGAATTAGCATTTTTGTTCTTTAAGTGAAACGGCTCTTTGTTCATTTACATCAATGGCAGACGATCACATTGATTTTCGGTCAAGAGTGCTAAGTTGTTGAAATTCGAAGTTCGCGCCACGAATCTGGTGGCAGGAAGAAAAACTGCGTCTCGGCCAAAGAGGTCGTGAAGAGCATACTTACCTTGGGTGTGAGTGTCACAAGCCAATCGTTGAATCAGGAATTTTATTGAATGCGTAAGCTGATGGTTAGACCAAATAAGGTTTGCATGTTTTTAATGCAGATTTTCGGTGTATTCGCTTTCGGACGGTAAAAATCGATTGAAAAATCAATTATTCTAAAATGCGAACTGGCCACTTTTTTTTTCAGATCGTATTTTTATCGGCCAACGTTCAAACAATCTGTGTTTTTTTAAGTATCGATCAATTTTGATAATTAGATGTTTTCTCATTGCTTTAAATTTTGAAAACAATGATGAATTGATCAAATGAACGTACATTTGCTTAAAAAAAAACTTGATACGTGTGGGAAAGATGGGATGTGCTCTAGAAAACTACTTAAGAAAAAATTTAAAAGTAGGCGCGACGTGATTCCTCTTAAAAAAATAACAATTTTGGGATTTGCCGTGGGCACGTCACGAGAGCGTCGTGGACAAGGTTCATGAGCTGAAGTGCACCAGCACCGATCTCCTCGTCGTTGCACATCTGAGTCATCACCGCTGACGTCACCGGCATTCCTTCTTACGGCCCTTATAACTAACGAGCAGACTCCCTCTTCCCCACCTGTCTCTGATTTCTTTTAAAATACTTATGAATGGTAAATAAATACGTCCAAATATGTGACAAAGAGCATTCAATGGACCACTAGACAAGGTACGAATTTAAGCGATCTGATACATGTTTCTTAACCAGAATTTCACGTAGAGCACGATTCGCACAACGAAAATTACTGAAACCAACTCCTAACGAAGATATTAACGTTTTTATTTCACATTGGTGACGAAGAATTTGAACTGCCCGCTCACAAGAAACTCAAAGCTCTACGTGAGTCAAATCGCGCACTACAATGGTTTCAGCAAACTTCTCAATCGAGCTATGTTCATTTCCCACCATGTGTTGTTCAAACTGTAAGCAATTTGCTGCAGCTGAGCCAAAGCGTCAGGACTGAGGTTGCCAGATTTATATATCGCAGAGACGTTGATGATAACGTTTAGCGCGCGATGTGAATCACGCAGAGCATTGAGTTTTCATGAGCGGGTGGTTTGAATTCACGCATCAAGAATCATTAAATATCTTCGTCAGGAGTTGATTTTGGTAATTTTCGCTGTGCGTATCGTGTTTTACGTGAAATTTTGGTTGAGAAACATGTATCAGAATGCTGAAATTCGTACCTTGTCTAGTGGTCCACTGGGTCAGGCAGTCAACCGTCTTAGATTTCGAAAGTCTCAAGATAACATTTTTAGCAATTTCTGCCATTTTAGATTTTTGAATTTTAAAAATTTGAGTTGAGATTCAAGTTCCTCGTTAAAAAATACCTCCTGACACCATGACGGTAACAGTCAAGTTTCATACGTTAGTGCGCCTTCAATTACATTTGATACCGTGCAATACTTTCGTGGTGGAATAGTTGCATTGGCACCTACAAACCTAACAGGGCATGCATGCATTGCGCAATGAGTAAAGTATCCCTGTTAGGTTTGTAGGTGCCAATGCAACTATTCCACCACGAAAGTATTGCACGGTATCAAATGTAATTGAAGGCGCATTGACGTATGAAAATTGACTATTGACGTCAACCACTGTTTGCTAAGTGGTAACTTCACGCCGACTAAAACATTTTACAGGGTCCAAATTTTCAAAACAGATACTCATGATATAATCACCGTGTTTTAGCGCACTTTTTCGATGGCTCCTGAGTTTTTTTTTTTTAGGTCTAGAGAGATGATATTGAAATGAGTCGAAATTCACGATTTTGCTCAGAAAAATGGCAACGTCGCAGCGTGATTATCAGAAGGGGAGCATTAGGAGCATCTAAGCTACTAATTTTACACTCTGATTACAATTTAGGCATCTGTAAAATTAATTTATCGAGAGGGAAAAATCATCAAAAACAGTCAAAAATTCGCTATGTTCATGCGTGAAAATGGCAACCGCGCGTCGGGTCAAAAGCATGGCGGGGGACCAAAACTTCACTAGGGTGTAGTTTATGAACTAATTTTGCCCTCTGTTTAATTTGCAGACCCCTCCGACTTTATTTTTTGGGAGCGAAAAATTACTGAAAAACAGTAAAAATTTGCTATTTTTGCGGGGACAAATGACAACTGCGCGTCGGGTTAATTTTGTCCGATTGACCCCAAATTTCATTTATCCCGGTGTGGGCCACCCTAATGCCCCATTGTCATTTATCCCGGATGACCATCTCGAACGTGGAATTTTGAGTCTGCTTATCAACGATACTTAGACATCTTTGGAAATATTTGAAATTACGATACGAACACGTTGGAAATACGCTGTCAATAATGGATAGCTTAAGCAGCTGGTTGAAAAAGGATGACATCCATGCCCAGTTGCCATTTTCCCTGGTTGACCATCTCGAGCCCGGAATTTTATTGAGTCTTCTTATCAACACTGAAAAAAAAGTAGTTAGCGTTGAGAACTAATTTGGTAAGTTCTCGCCAAGTAGAATCAAAATTAGGCTTCAGAACTAATTTATTGTACTGAAGCACCAATCAATTCGCTTCATACGCTGACTTCACTTTACTAGAGCGCGAACCAGAATTGGAAAACAGCACTAGCTGTAAAATTAGCGCTGTGGTAAGAAAAATTCACCTTCGGGTCAAACTAATTCGCCCTCAACGCTAACTGCCACATTGTCCGTTACATTTATTTAGTTTCGAAAAAGTGGCGTCGGTACTACAGCCTCAATCGCGTCAGCTCGTGAAAATCAATTAAAATGTGAAATTTCGGGCTCGTTTGACAATGTAAATACTCCCGGTATGATTTATAGTGTCCTCTCTTTCTTGAAAACGCTCGAAAGCAACATAAATAAACCTGTTATAGGTTAGAAATCGTCTGTTCGATTCAAAAAGTAAACAAGCATGATATTCGTTGGAGTCGTCAATCTTCTGTATTAAATTGCGATTAAAGCGTTCCGCGTTCAGTTTATATTTTACGAAAACCTGTGAACTTACTGCTTACTTCTATAGTTCGTGTTCTCCCATAATTTCAAAAGAATATCTCAAGTGTTCGGACGAGATATGTTTATTCAGTGTGAACATTCGCTACCGTTTCATGTGTGAGTATGTGTCTCTCTAAAGGATAATTCTGTCTACTTGCACGTACCTATGGGATATTCCTTTCCTCTGTCGTTCATTTGGAACCGGTCAGTTTATTTTTACCTATCATCTTTTAAGAAATCTTATTTTCCTGAAAGTATTGTCCAGTTATCATTCGCTAAGCCGTTTTCTCCTCTCTCAGTTTTGAGGTTAGGTTGACCCAACCCTACCGAATGCGAATTAGAGTAGCGGAATTAGTTTCCAGCACTAATAGTGGTTAGTGTACAGAAACCAAAAATCATGTGTGTCCAAATCACACAATTTGAGTTAGTGTATAGAAACCATTTTTAGTCATCTGACGCTAACTCATTTTTTTCAGTGAACGCGATATGTTGACACCTATGCCTCCTACGACACCTATGACATCCCCATCTGTGCTTTTCTAATAAAGCATCAAAAATCAATCCGTATTAAAGGCGTATAGTAATTAAATGTACGTGAATATTCTAACTGATTAAAGTATTGTATTTAGGGGGGGTGGGGGGGGGGTTGCTATTTTTTTTACCCTACTGCAAGAAAATGCAATGGACTGTAAGGTCCCAGTCAGCTGCCCCCCCCCCTCTCTTAAAATGCTGTCAAGCGCAAGTAGAGTACCTTTATAGGAAAAGTATAACCACTTCGGTTACCACCTCTGATTGGCTCAGCCTTGATGTGCTGAAGGGACCCCTCTAGGGTCCAAAAATTGCGGACGCTGTTAGTATATGTAAATAAAAAATGACTCAAAATGTCATTTTATTTGCATATAGCAACGAGAAATTTACTCAAATGCATTGTTACGGTGTATTTACATAATTTTACGGCTAATCGTCTACAATTTTCGAGAATAATTATTTGAGATGTAGTGTGGTTGGCAGCAAGTGCGGTTGCTGATAACAAGTGAAAACCGTCAAAAGTTGGCAATGACCCCTTCTTCCATCCTCTAAAACCGAAACAAATCGCCGCCATTTTTGGGCCCTAAGCCCCTCAGTAGGACCCAGTGGCCATACTTTCCCTTTGAAGGTACGCTAAGCGCAAGCGCACAGTGGCGCTCAATGGGGGACCGGAGCGTCACATTGAATTTCCCGCGCAAAAATTGAATCACCCGCGTAAAGTCCCCGCGTAAATCTCCCGCGCTAAATAGTTCATATTTTCGACGCCATGTGCGCTGTGAGTTGTTTTGATTTGTGATAACCTGCAAATTCATGATGCAATTTCTGGAAGATTTCGAAGATGTGCGGCAAGAAAGTTGTGTGGGTGTTTTAAATGAACCAAGTGGAAAGCAATTTCTACTGACGTGGTTAATCAGTCTTAATTTTTCAGTTTGATTTCCATCAGTATTTCATTCCCCTAGTTATATGTAGCAAATGTTATTAGTAGTCTCATATACCTACTAATACATAGGCATGAATTCATTATGGTCAGAAGTCCTGACATTATCTATTGAGTAAAGTGCTAACAAAAAAGTGTCAACTGTTTTTTTACCAAATCCTCTTTTCTATCCACTGTCACATCTAATTTGCATCTCACACAAAATGAGCCGAAGTAACCGAAGAGCTAACCGAGGACTTGAGTGGGGCGTTGCTCTCTTGTTGTCCGAGCTGTACAGAACTGGTTATGATGTTATTCCTCCTGTCACCCTTGCAACTGTTGTGGGCCAGGTAAGAAATTTTTCATGGTTTAAAGCTCATTTTTCATTTGATAATTGATACAGCAAAGTTGGATCTTGCGTGTCGCACGTTTATCTGGAAAACAAATTTCATTCGGGTTCACGGACACAGCATCAGGATTTGATTTTCTTCTAAATTTTCAATGTGCCAGTTCAAAATGCTTGGTCCAGTAAGTGTTATATCTCCAACCGGACTCTCCAAGAGGGTAGAAGTATTACTGGTAAATCAATTTAATTTCCGAAGGAAATACACTATTTTTTATTTTTTTCTTGGCAACCTCTACCATTTCTTGAGACGAATTAAGCAGAATTTTTGGTTCAAACTCATGAAGTTTTCAATTGATTAGTTCGTTGCATTATCACACAGGCTTCTCTGGAACAATCGTCAAAAGCTGTGTTGTTTAAAATGAACTGGGAGAATTTTAAAATGGCTTAGTGTCAGTCTGCTCGTCCCTGAAGCTCTCTCTTCCTCTGAAATAAGCGAAAAATTCAACCAACATCTGACAGTAACTTGCAAGAAATGAGTACACCAAAATGTATAATACGTGAAAAGTAAAGAAAATCAAACCATCAAACTGCTAGAAACAAGGCTTCGAATGAAATCACGATGCAAAAAAAAATAGCGACTGAACTCAGTAGGAATCATCTTCATTACTTATGCTTAAAGTATTTAATTAAAGAAGAAGAAAAACGAATTTCTCTGCCTCTTTTTTTTGCCTTAAGCTCTGACTCTATCAGTTTGTACTTGGTTCGTTTCTTACTCTCTTTTCTTGCTCTTCAAGCCTCCTGATATTGACCGCATTACATCATATTAGTCAAAACGTTCACTTAAGTAGTTTTGTAATATTGTTTTAGCCCTCTGTGTTGCAGCTTCAGTGTGGTTTATTGTTTTATCATATTCTTCATGTTAAAATATTCTTGTGGACTTTTCTAGATATTGCTGTACATTGGAGTGATAAATGTACCATGGACCCAGTCAGAAGTCTGCCTTAGCGCAGCTCATGTACTTAAGGGCAAAGATTATCGGCGTCTTCTTTGGTCAACCTTTGAACATGGAGATGACATGCACCTGTACTACAATATGATATCTTTCATGGTTAAAGGTAGAACACTTGAAGGAAAGTATGGGAGTGCCAACTTTGGATTTCTTCTGGCATTTTTGTGCGCAATTACAAGTTGCTCCTATGTGGTTTTAGCACTCATTGGAGCTCAAATCATGGATGATCCTTATATTATGAAATCTTGCGCAATAGGTTTTTCAGGTAAGAGATTCTCTCCTCCATCTAATTAAATTCATTTTCCTCAAATAATTCTTCCCTCTCCTACATCTTTTCTCCCCATCCAAATTACTGAGAATGTAGTACTCGGCAAAAGTAGGCAGGCATTTGAAGATCTTAATACTTCTAATTTCATAATATTTTAATGTGAGTTTTGTACACACTAGTTTTCAACAGTTCTGTTCATAATTTGGACTAAACTTTGCGATTAGGAACTACCATCTCTGACTCCATTCAGAAAAAATGTAAGAACCATTTGTTTCCCTATGCATGTATTTTTTTTTTACAAATGAGTCAGAAATTGTAGTTCCTAATTGCAAAATGAAGTCCATCTCAACTTTGTATTCTATTATTTTTTCGTTAGCACAGACGTTCACAAATAATTCTCTTCTCGATTTTTATATATTGTTAAAAGTCTTTTGATTAAAATGCATGAAAAAATTCAAAGGTAGGTCTAACCCACAAGTTGAATTTCAAAGTTTGTATTGCGTAAGTTATGTTCTTTGTAAAGTCTGTACGCACAAAAATGTACAAAGATGCTTCATTTCTAACTGTGACAAGGAGTTTGTTGTCTCATATTTCTTTTAAAATCTAATTTTTGTTTCTAGGAGTACTTTTTGCTCTGAAAGTTGTGACAACCCAAGAGGATCCACGTGGGTATACCAATGTTGCTGGATTTTTGGTGCCCGTGAAGTATGCAGCTTGGGCTGAGTTACTTGCAATAAATATGCTTGTTCCTAATTCATCATTTTTAGGTCACTTGGCTGGCATTGTTGCTGGTTTAATCTACACAAAGACTATTATCGGACGTCTAGTCGACAATATTATCAGAAACATAACCGGTAAGTTCAGTTTCTTTTCAACTTTAAATTTTGGATTGAATTATTATAGTAGGACCTCAATTTACCAGATTGACATTTAACAGATTGATCCTCTGGTCCCCTCAAAGGCTCCAAGCTAATTTGAATAAATGGATTCTGCTATTTTATGAAATCGATTAGTCAGTCCAGTGATATACGAAAAATTACTGTATTCAGATGAAATATGAAGGAAAAGAAGTTATACTTGGGGTAATTATTTGAAAGAAGTCCATACAAAGCTATCAATTAAAATCAAGATTACGACTGTCAGAGAGAACCTGGTAAAGCAAGCGGGGAAAAAACAAACAAAGGATAAACAATAGAATAGTCAGGGAAAAGAAGAAAAAGGCTCAAAAGTCAGAAATGAATCGTGCATTTATGTTGATGATGGACTCAGTGTCCTATACCTATGTGATTGGGGGGGGGGGGAGGAGAGGCAACAATTTTCTGCATTTTTAACAAGTCTCTCTCGATTTTTTCTTTTGCAGGTGAGCGGATCTACCATAACTATTGCTGAGTTCAAGGTTTCAATGTTGTGTGAATAATGTTTCACTTTTCCTATTGATGCTGCGTCACGTTTCCGAAGAGGTAAATTGTGAATTCTTTAAAATCTTGAAATGAAAAAGTCAGCTCTGTATTTTTTTTTTTTTTTTTTTTTTTTTTTTTTTTTTTTTTTTTTTTTTTTTTTGCATTGGTGCAACAATATTCCATGTTGCTCAGTTTCTCAATGCAAAGATTTTCCTTGAATCAAAAGTATTATTGATTCATCTAACTAGCTCCAAAGGCATAGCAATTTCTTCGAGCATTTGTCACTATTTTTGAAGAAATATTTTCTCTATTAAATCTCTTAGTATACTTACTCAGTGGTAACCCAGTTACAAGGTTTTAAACCGAATCTTCCATTTTTCCTCCATTAGTGCTCGCCTCAAATTAAAATGAGTCCAGTATTGTGAATGCCCTAGTATTTTTTCCACTATCTTTTAGGTGAAAAAAATAGGGTCCCTGTAAGATCTCTTACACGTAATTACATACCCATTTACATGAAGCAAAGGAATGTGCAAGTATCCCTAGAACTTGCATAAGTTAATATTTGTTTACTTTTAACTGTCATGTATGGATGCATGGCAGACAGTTTCACTTCTGTGCACAGCTAGAGTTTTGCTCATTGATCGATTTCAGACAGTGGCAATGCAGTTGCTTGCAAATGGGAAATAAACAATTGTTAATTTATTTGACATCAGATCTGCTTTACCAGAGCAACAGAAAATAGAAAAGTAAAAACTGCCAAATTGTATGAAAGGGATTGAAAATTGATTGGGATTGTTACCAAAGTTTTTTTGGATGCCTAATTCTATTCAGCTGAAAGCAACTAGAACTGTCTAGATTTAAATATTCTATGCACAGTTTTAGCTGAAATTTGCCTGCAGAAATTACGGTGATGCTGTTATGTTAGTTCTCACCACTGATTTTTCTTCTTTTGTTTTCACGTAAGCCCCATCAATCAGCAATGAATGAAATTCACACTGTTGCTCAGCATGTTTCACTGATACAATCAGAGTTAAGAAACAGTGATTTGCGCTGATATGGCAAATGATATTATCAAATGTATTTTGAAAGACATCATATTCGTTCAATATCCAAATCAGGAACTTGGTATTCCAACAAATCTGATTATATTTCTCTCCATCTGTGAAATTCACTCATCAAAAGCAAGTCTCGTGACATTCCCAATTTATCCATCAATTGAAAGAAAAAGAAATAAGATTATGTTCAAGTTTTTAATTGAAAGCACTTAAATTTCTTTTCCCCCAAGAAATTACCACTGCCCAACTCTAGGAAGTCAGTTGTTCTCAACTGTGCAGTTGTGGAAAAATTGTGGAGGCAGATTTTTTTTGTTCATAGCTTTTGCCACCTGTACAACTATACAATTTTGGTACACACTCACTCCTGAATTGCAATGTCAAATACCTATTGTCCCGTTGTTGTTGTGAACCTGCTGCAGAAACTTTCAGAGGCCTCTTTAAAAAAATCGAACCCTTTGTTGTCCAGCGGGCCGATAATTGAAATTTAGTGTTTGTCAGGCGTAGATAGATGACATGGGCTAAATGGCGAGGCGTAATTGGTCGGCTATGTCTTATCGCCGCTTTGTCGTGTCTTTGTCAGGTGGAATGGACAACATACTGTCGGAAACTTAAGAGGTACTGATAGCTTGTTGTGAGTTTAACCCGACATAGGCACGGCAAAGCAGCGATGAGACATAGCCGACCAATCACGCTCCCTCCGCCTTGTAACCTATGTCATCTATGTCCGCCTGACAAACACAAAATTTCAATAATTTGCCCGCAGGGAAGAAAGTGAGTCTTGTAGAAATGAATAAAAACAAAGTATATCATCCATTTTTAAACCTTTTGAGATTCTTTTTTTATTTACAAATAAAGGTCACATTTCTTTAAAAAATCATTTTGTTTGGAGAAACAGTTCTAACTTTTTTACATACATTTTTAAAGATAAGTGGTATGAGTATCAACAAGGATTTCCCTAATCATATTTTTTGAACACATTCAACTGTTTTAGGATTCTGTAAAGTTTTAAGGGAGGTCTTTCAATTTTGTTCAAAAGTAGTTACCTAATGAATATGGTTGGATATTGGTCGCATCAGATGAGGACGTATGGGTAACCGTATCCATAACCTGAAAAAAGAAGATACACTTTTTAGAACCAACCAGAATTTATGAGTAACATGAAAAATAAATCATACACAGTTTATCCCAAAACTAATGCAACAATCACAGCTGCAAAGAAAACAGAGATTGATTTATGGTTTTAACAGGGCTCCAGGTGGCACAATTGTGGTTCTAACGAGACCTTTTAGAGCTCTTTAGGTCAAAGATTCACCAAAATATAGCATTTTAAAGATGACTTGTGGCGCAGCGTGGCGGGAGGGGGGGGGGGGGGGGGGGGGGAGATTTCAAACTGAAGTGAAAAAATCTGAGGACAGAGTAGGAACCCCAGGCAAAAAATGTGTCTTGCAGAAACGAATTTCCTTGGAAACTGTTGAGAAAATCTCATGATTTGAATCTCAGGGGTAGCCCTGTCAGTCAGGCCTCTCTGTGCTATTTCCCATCATGAGTTCTTGAATTTTGAAAAAAGAACAGCACTATGCAACACACTTTACATGCTAATCCATGCCATCTAATGTACAGCATGGCTTATTTTGGGCACTTACTCTTTAAAAACGATTTACATTCTTTGGAGCATGTTTGAAAAGAAAGAGGCGTCTTTTTGTCGTCAAAAAAACTGCTTTTGAGAGACAACTTCTATTTCACAACGGCATGTCTACCACCATTGTAGACTTGTAGACTTAGCTCAGGGAGAGAATCAATGTTTATTCATGTGTAAACCTTAAGATTTACCAAACATTAATAAATAAAACCGATCCCATTTTGGCAGACTATTTGCAAATTAAGTGTGTATGATAGGGATGTGGTACCTTTTGAAAATAATACCGGTGGCTGTTAGATAAGTTATCTTTCAAAGACCGTATCTCAGTGAATTATAAAAATAAGAGCACAGAGGTCCCGTTTAAACTGTAATCATGCTGCATTGAGCTCTATTTAAGCCTCATTTTCTCATGATGGCGATTGTTGTATCACTTTTGAGACACCTGTGCCACCGTGCTAAGAAAGAACGGTATTTGAGCCTCAGATGTTGCCAAATTTACTTTGTCAAATTATGAATTTTTGGAAAAAATCGTAAATGTATTTTTTTTCCGATTTTACAGAAAATTTTGTTCGTAATTTGATCTAAAGTTTCTGAAAATTTCAAGGGAAAATAGTCATAACTTCCCTTAAAATTAAGTCATTCCTGAGAGGAATTTTGCCAACATTCAAATAATCGTACAGGGTTTTTCCTTAGCTTGGCAGTATGCACATCAGGATCTATATTAATCACCAGTAAAAATATTCTCTCCATCCCGCCTTGAAGAGGATCGTGCCCTACTGACGTGTCTCCTGCAAAAATATTGTTTTGATAATTTTTAAATTTTTTTACGGGGTAGTGTCGTTTCGAATAATAAGTGAAAAGAGTGGCTTGAAGTGAGCCTATTTGGATAACGGTTTTTCAAAGTGAGTATGAGCTGTAATGTCACTTAGCTAAAGCAGGTGACAGTGGATGCAGGGGGCTGCCTCATGTCTAGTCATTAGAGCACGTGCTAAAGGAACAGTCGTTTAATGTGTTTCTTTACTTTTTTCATGCTCTGAATAAAAAATGAAGAATGAAGCAAATCCATAGACGGATTAAGGATCCTGCATTCAGAGAATGTTGTTAGTACTGTTAATTTCTCTCTGTTACATTCCGAGAGAAAGTTAAATGCATTCAGTAATTTTGTATGTACACAATATTCAGCATTACGTTGAGAAATTACTCAACACGTAGGTATCAACAAGGCAGCATGGATAAAGATTCAGAAGAAGTAAATATTCCCCGTATAAATAAATTAGACTTTTAGAAAAGGAAGTAAAATTATGCCAACTCACTTTCATTAGGTTGCTTTTCACGCAATTTTGTTTTTACCCTCATGGTTAGTCAATGCCAAAAATTCTTTCAAGTACTTACATATGGTGGAATACTTTGTTGTAGGGGTGTCGGCCAAGTAGTGGTTTGAATTCAATCATTACGTCGGAAAATAATTGTAAACTTAATGGTGCCAGCATTGCGTGGAACCCAACATTAGTCATGAATTTTACCCAAAAACCTGGAGTCAATTCATTTCAACTTAAATAACTCCAGACTTTTTAACAATGAAGGATAGTCGAGCTTTTTAGGATGCCCCATGAGGATAGAATATTTGTGATTTTAGCTATAGCAACTCACCTCAAATTTAATTTTTTTAATTCAGTATATAGCGCAAAAACTCTTAAAAGGCTCTTACTTTCAGCAGATTATTTTGACTCCTAAATCCACACGCTACACCAAATTCTCCTGATCTCAAAATTATATTTCGTATTCACTTCATTTGTTCAATCAATTTGTTGAACTACAGGGAAGATTGGATACTACCAATTACTATACCATCTCAACAAAATCATCATTTTATTTACAAACGTTGGTATAAAAAAGTAACTGAATTTATTTTTGTACGTGAAAATGTATTTTGATTCACTAAATTATGTTTGTTTAAATCATGAACTTTAAAATTCTTGTAGAATTTTTTTTTTCTCCCTTGATATTTTTATTTGTTATGTTTTCAAGTTACAGAACTTAGAATTTTGTGTGAAGTTTAACCTCCTCTCAAAATACCATGGTTATAGTTTCATCTATTTATTTTTATCATAATCGAGAGAGACTGTCACCAAGGGTCATAAAAAATGTATTAGAAAATTCTATTTTGGCGTTTGCTTCCACTTAAATTTAGGAGGATCTTGTGTTTTTCATTTTTCTCATTTTTTTTTTTTTTTTTTTTTTTTTCAAGAAACGGTGTGATGTTTGTAGTTGTTTTGGTTGTTAATTAGTTTTAATATAGATCCAAATTCAGGGCTTATTTATAAATTTTTCAGAGTACACTCTTAATATTTATTTGTACCTTTTGTAAATAATTAGATCTTTTGACTGAGTAAATGAAACTATTTTGTTACTAGAACTTGAGCTTTCTTTAATTTCAAACTGTTTAATTATTTTGAATTATTTAAAGTTAATTATTTACAGTTGAAATTGTTTATTACGTGCAAATATCAAATTTCTGTCACTGAGTAGTAAGGAGTACGTTTCAGACTCTAGCTGAATATCCTCAAACTATCATACTCCATTTTAATCTCGTAACAAAGCAAGTCAAATTAAGTGAAAATTCAGCCTCATCATACGCTCGCGGCAAAAAATCGTTTTTCATAGAAAAGAAATAATTCTCTGACTGAATGAAATGTCCAGCGCTTACCTTATGAGCAAACACTCATGGAGCAACAGTAGGCATTATTTTACAAACTAATCAATTTAAATTTAGAAGACAACACACTTAGATATTTTTTAAACTTTGAAATCAATTCTTCCACTCAATATTTAGTGTAATCAAAAATTTCCAGAAATTTCCTTGCTACTACCTCCAAAGTAATTGCATTGATTGGATATTGGGCGTTTCAAAAAGCTAAAAACCTCCTAAACCCATAATAATATGCAATAATATACCATTGCAATAATATTTGCGCTAGTTTCATTACATGATTCAAAGCTCTCATTTAAGTATGCCCATGTTTTTAAGTACATCACAATGCAGTGAAATACGAAGATTATTCAGAGCGTTGATTCTTCTTTTCCTTTCAAGGACTATTTGATAAGCCAAAAAAATTCAAGAAGGCATATTGCTAAAAGGCTTTTATCCACTCTCTTAATGGTCCCTCTTCGACTCTCCCATCCCAAACATCATTTAATCTGAAAAAATCGAGAAAAAAGCCAGGCACGGGTGGTCTGTGACTCCTTGTATAGACCTCAAAATAATATTTCACGGCTGATCTCTAGATCGTTGTGTCAACAGTTAAAATTCCCGAGTGACATCAGCCAGTGAAATGTGCCCCAAACAAACGGAAGAAGATCCATTGAATTTGTTTTTATAGACGAACAATGCCAAAATACTAGCATTTTTAAGTGGGATCGATTTTTTCATTCAGTTTTATAGACAGCTCTTGGGTAAAATTTTACTTGGCGGGGCCCCGCCCGCGTGCCTTATTATTCTGATGCTAATATCTGAGTCATAAGAAGCAACGCAACCAATGGCGTTGATATTAACGCCTTCATGCAACTATTCGTGCTTTGTGGTCGCACGTGTTGCATATGAAAAAATTGAAGGCGCTCTGGTCGTTCCAGTCCATGATAGGGTGCTCAAAGCAATGTGTGGCGCGCCGCGCGTCAATATGAATACGTGGTAAGATGAAATCCTCGGATGATAACAAAGAGGAAATGATATTTCCGTACTACGAATAAATGCAATCATGAATGAGTGCTGTGTAAAAGTTAGAGGTGAGAAAATCACTTAGCTACAAAACCATTGAATTTCAGGTTCTTAGTTTCCTAAAATGCCGAAGATCATTTCAATACGATCACTTTTTAAAGTCGTGGCAGAGACTTAATTTCCAATTTTTTTTAAATCAATGAATTCTCTCTTATTCCAATGGGGGGGGGNGGGGGGGGGGGCAGACTTTAGCATTGATTTCTTGACTTTCCGCCTGGATATAGATTGCAACCGGCATTATCTCAGTGGTGCTGATCCCAAAACAGTAGTGCGCGTTATCTTCTATGTGAAAATTTAATGCGAAGGCATGCAACGCAGTCTTTCTGCTTCTGTCGCAATCATGCACATTTCTTTTCCTCAGTCAGCTTTGATGCGAAACTTAATGAGTCATTAAATTCGCGGATGCTCCCAGACGGTCATTAAAACTTGGGTATCGGAGGATAAAGACCATAGAAAAAAGGAGGTGTTTGCATTTCGGGCATCTTGGACTTTTTTGATGACGTAGGTCGGGACGGCAATTTTTATCATGGATTTTCTCGGAAATGGTGTAGTTTATGGGAAAAAATAATTTTTTATTAAGTGTTTGAAATTATATCATGAGTTGATGTACTTATTAAGCAGAGAAACCGGACTTATGGTCCATTTTTCATTCTTCGAATTCCGGATTTTGCTGGACTACCTGTACTGACACGGAAAAAATTGAATTGCTGATTTAACAATTAAATTGCTAAAAAAAGTGACTGCAATGTTTCAATGTAGATTTTACAACACAAAAATGCTACTCTAACCATCCCCGTGGTTAAATTAGCTTACAACAGTGGTTAAAGTAGCATTATTTGTTGTAAAATCTCGGCTGAAACGTTGCAGTCACTTTTTTTAGCGATTGAATTGTTAAATTGGCAATTTAATTTTTTCCGTGACTTACGTCACGGGGTAAACAATTCTCAAGATGCAAACACCTCTTTTTTTTCTCTATGGATGAAGTCTGAACTAATGGCAGTGGGAAACTCACTGAGAGGCACGTGGTGAGAATAAGCGATAGGTGCAATAGGCGCAGCAACTGGTGTGGCAACTGCTGCTGTATGGACAGGCACCGAATGGCTCGTGAATTGGTCCACGCTGCTGTAGCTGTATGACACAGGGGCTGCTGCATACGGACTGTAAACCACGGGCACTGCTAACGCTGGTTTCGGGTCAGCCTTTGGGTCTGGGTTCGGGCTGGCTTTAGGTTCTGGTGCGGGGGCCGGTGCGCAAACTGCTAAGCTTACCATGGACACCAACAGTATCTGAGAATAAAACAACTGATTTTGGAACCAGGTCGATCTCGAAAATCAACGGGCCAGTTGTGCTGGTCATCGAATCGTGTTTCGATGCTTGATTCTTGTAGATCAGCTAAAAATAATAGGATCTGCCCAAACGACAACTTTCTACCCTGGTAAAAATTGGCGATAGGAGCTGCGTTTCAAAATACCATAGGAGTTCTTATAGCCGACCGAAGAGGGCGATAGAAAATCATATAGCTGGCTGTAGAAAGTGGAAAAAATCATACGACCGGGCTACACGAAGCGATAAAAAATTATACAGCCGGGCTACAGTTCCTATCGCCGGGCTTTACACTTTATCGCCTGGCTGTTGCTTTTTCGCCATCGGCTATAAAAGGCTATAAGAAATTGTGTAGAAATTCTTGTGCTTTGTAAATACTTAAGTTTGTACGGAATCACCTTAATATTTACAAAACGCACATTATATTTTCCTTTACTATATATTTTTTATCATCAATTAAAATGAGAATAATCCATACAGAGTGTGCAAACATTTCAAAGTCATGAGTTGAAAAACGCTGACTCCGCGAGATTAAATATTTGAGCCTAACTCAAAGCGGAGTGGCGGCGCACTGGCGCCTACAAACCTAACAGGGATACTTCACTCCTTGCGCAATGCGTGAAGTATCCCTGTTAGGTTTGTAGGCGCCAATGCGCGTTCAGCGCTGGCTGCCCGCCCGCAGCGCCGCGCCGCAGCGTACCGCGGCGCTTGAAGCAACTATTCCACACCAGAGGTATTGCACAGTATCATACGAAATTGAAGGCGCTCCAACATATTAGGAATGGCAGGTATCCTTCAAAAGTACGGAGCTTTCCTCGCAAATTAAATCAAGATACTGCGGCCCAAAAAGAGAGCGGTAGTCCAATAACTCACTAAGTCCTAGCATCCGTAATTAGTAACGTTTAGCATACACTTTATCGCCAGGCTGTTGCTTAGTCGCCATCGGCTATAAAAGGCTATAAGAAATTGTGTTGCCGGCTGTAGAAGCTATTGGAAATCCTACAGCCGGCTGTAGGTCTATGGTATTTTGGAACACAGATTTTACTGCCAATTTTTACCAGGATACGTTGAATATCAACCGAGATATCGCGACTTGAAAAACTCGATTAATGACGTCATCCACTGCGGTAGTATTACCATGTTATGCACAACCTCGTAGGATGACGTCACAAACCCGAATTTTCAAATGATGATATTTCGGTTAATATTCAATGTAGAAACTTGATGTTTGTAGAGATCTTATTATTGTAGCTAATCTACAAGAATTAAGCATCAAAACAGGATTCTGTGACCAGCGCAACTGGCCCATTGTCTGGGTAGAAATGAGTAGGTAAGAACCGATGTGCTTTAGTTATGTTGACTGTTGAGCGCCTTTACATTCTTTCGTGAATCGATATTTAGGTACTAATTTCAATTCCGAAGAACCATCATTTTTTTGTATAAAATCATGAAATATTGATGGAACAAATCGATGTATTAACTCTCTGGCGTAAAAATTCAATGCTACCTACGTGTACAAATTCTTTGGTTTCGTCACGCTTAGGTAACGTGTGTATACCTAAGTAACAGTTAAATCTCGTGGCAACATCGATTCAACAAGACAACGACAAGAATTAAATGGGCTTTGGACTTCTTTGCCTTCTTTGCCCCCTTCCACCCGTAACTTAGAAACCGTTCGGCCTCAAGTCAGCTATGGCAGCTCTAGTTCTTTATATTTCGCTTCTAAGTTTTTTCATGTACCTCATTGTGCGATTTCTGTTTATAGTCACCGCTAAAAAATGGCATACCGAGAGAAAAAGTTGTTCTCAATTTCCTCTACTTAAAATTTGTTTCGCCCCGCAATACATTCATACATACTCATTACATTCGGAGAGGGCGACTGATTAATCATCAATCCTCCAAGTAGCAAAATGCAACGAAAATATTGAAATTAAATTGCAATGCGATTTCAATTAAATTGTAATTTTTTCACCATTTAAGTGCAATATTTTTGTACACCATTTACTTAGTCGATTTATGCCGATTTAAAACAATCATCAAAATGAGTTTCATGTGTCAGAAAGATAGGCAATATGTAATGCAATGAAAAATTGCAACTTGATTCAATTTTATTGCAATAAGTTTCAATAAATGGGGCCCCTTAAAATTGGAGGTAGGCAACATACACAGCACTCAGTGAAATTGCAATATTTTTTCAATTTAATTGCTACTCATTGCAATCTGTCCTACTTGGGCCGTCGAGACGAATAGGAGTTGAGTTCAGGTAAAATTTGCTTTTAATGCGCGGGAAAAATCTTACTTTTTAAAATTATGTTGTGGGATATTTTTTTTAAAAAAAAGTCAGAATCGTAGGCTTTAACTACTGAGTTATAAATTCCTGAATATATGTAGTTCAACCGTTTGCGACGCTACTCTTTATTGCAATGCAGTTTCTAAAAAATTAAACAAAATAAAAAATAAAGAAATTAAAGATTAACAACTCACCGTAACTTGAAACATTGTGATCAGATTTTTAACAGCAATCATTTTCCACCCGTAAAATATGTGTAAAGGAGGTTCCCTTCGTACAATTCGAAGAAACCGCACGTGAAACAAAATATTTTTCCCTTTCTGAGGAAGCACACTTTTTCATTCAGTAAAATTTCACAGGCCCGGGTCCACCAACTATAATAGAGCTCAGCGAGATGCATCCTCTATTTATACGTTCGGTTTTCTTTTTCCTCCTCTCTTTTCTCGAGGAGGTTCAAAGCCGTTGGCTTTAGGTGCGTTCACCTCAATCAATCCCGTATTCAATATTTTTCATCGCTCAATGGAGCCTTCCCATTCCACCTGCCTGAAGCTGATGTGCCGAATTCGATAAGCAGGATCCTCAAGGTGTTGTCAATCTCCCAAAAAATCTTCAGATTTTCTACCCATAAGCAGTTTCGTCCCAAGTGCTTCATATTCCCTTTAAGTGTGCACTGGAAAAAAAAAACACATTGGATCCGGTGTCCAGACTCTTGAAAACATTGACAAGAAAAAATACTCTTGATTCAATCGGATTTTTGCTTGAATCAAAACGAAATCCGCTTAAACTAAGAGGCTTGGTTCTTGATTTAAGCTAGATTCTGATTGAATCAAGAGTACTTTTTCTTGTCGATGTTTTTAAGAGTCTGGACTCTAGATTCAATGTGTTTTTTTTTTCCAGTGTGCACTTTTCACGTATTGCGTTGACGATGCACAGTTTTTAGCATCATAGTTGGTTACTCCATTTGCAGTTCACATTTACGATGCATTCAAACCGTGCAATGTTACCATGCTTTACCATAGGCGATTTTTTACAATTGAATCTTACACACTTCTTTGAATAAAATGCGGCTTATACGAACTTTTCAAAAAAAAACAAAAAAACAAAAAAAAAACAAAAAACACTTGACATAAGTCAAAGACCTGGTGTTCAAGTATCACAATGCAACGAAAACAATGAAATAATTTTGCACCTGAATGCAATTCAATTTTTTACTATGAAATTGCAATATTTTTATATCATTAGGTCCATAAATGCCAAAATCGAACAATTAATATAATGAGTTCTATGGGTGGGATAGGAAGGCAATTGGCAACTCATTTCAATTTTATTACAATGAATTTCAATAAGAAGAGCTCCTTCAATTAGTGAACAGGCAACATTCATAACACTTCGATACAATACCAATCCATCACTACCGTCAACAGCAAAAACGCCGTAACTCCACTCACATTGGTCTCATTCTCTCCAGCACGTACTGCTCTATTACAAGAAAATGCAATTGCCACGATGGTTCATTTTTCAACTTTTAGTTCCTAATGGTGTGGCGGAGTTGTATTGAAAAAATTGAGGATGAACACTTGTTAGGTTTTTTGCAAAACAGCATTATGTCAGTTAGAAATTGAAAAATTGTTGAATGGAGATACGGCGTTTTTACTTTTACATGGGTAACACTGTTATTCGTTTCTCTGTGGCCAACAATTGCAACAATTCGGTATTGAACACACCTCCGGGAATCGATTCAGAAATCGACAATAACGTAAACTGTGTTCACCGGGATTAATAAAAAAATCATTCGGAGAAAATTTCGTTTTGCCTTCAGACCGCTCTATATTGCCCATCGTAGATAGTTACTCTACTACGAAAATATTCGCCCGTGGAAACTCTGCTGACGCATTTTGATAACCACCGTTGAGGCACATTTGGACATATTTCTATCAAACAGAACTATATGCATTCTGACGTGAGCCCTGTTATGCATGTATTCTTATGGGTGTCAGGGCTCATGTCTTAATGCACATAGTTCCGTTTGATAGAAATACGTTCATTTGTATGAGTATAGTATGAGTGACAAATTTGGAGGTGAATACGCATCGAACCCAAGTTCGTCCAAATGTATAAGTCCCTTTTTGCCTATTAAATTTTTAATCAAATACTTATAGGCGTCTTCCTATTCGCCTCCGAAGTTGAGTGCTCGTAAAATGTATTTGTTCGTTAATGTTTCTAGTGTGTGGTCAATCCATCTGGTGTTTGTGCGCATGAATAACATATACGTACCAAGGGGAAAAAGAGAATACAATTGTTAAAACTTCCCCGTTGCCTAAAGTAAAGTGCATACTTATTTATATCACAATAGAGGATCACTCACTCAATATCACGTCCGTATTTTTCAAGTCGCCGAGCCGCGCTAACATTCTTCTACCAGTCGTTTCCTATGCTCTCCTCAGCTCGTTCTTGCGTTTCGAGACTTCACTTTAACTAGTGTAAATCAGTTGGACCAAGCGAGAAACCACGTATCTTCGTTTACAACGTTGTGGACTTCATGTCGTGCTTTCCTCGGAAAACTACAGTCGATGTAATTTCTCAAAAACTTCCTTCATTATTTTTCCTCTCTTTCAGCAGAATATTTTGTGTAAATTTTGAGGGAACGAAAATGTGCGTTTTCAAGGCGATGAAAGCAGGGGATCGGTGGTAGAAAGGACTGCCACTGAAACTTGAGAAAAAGAGGCGATAAAAACTTTATCCGTGCACTGAAGAAATTTGTTCTTGAGTCATTATTTTGGCTTAAAGTGTCTTTTCTTGTCGACAAATTTTTTTTTTTTTGTTTTTTTTTTGTTAAATGCATGCGGATTCATCTTAAAAACAGTTTTTTTAAGCTAAAAAAGCGTCGTCAAGTTTAAGTTAAACAAATGATAAACAACTTTTCTTTATAACTTAAAAAAAAAAATTGTCGACAAGAAACGACGCTTTTAGTCAAAATAATATATCAAGAAAACTTTGTTTCAGTGTATGTTAGAAATCTGATCGTAATGTAAGGATATTTTTTAATTACGTGACATTAAATGGTCTCAGTTCAAATAACAAACAATCACAAAAGTTTACGTGACTATTTTTTTGACGGTTGTTGGTTGGCGCAAATACACACAAATGAGGAAAGACTCAGGGAGGAATATTTAATCGATTTTTGTCAACGGCTACTCAGCATTTTATGTGAGAGACTTTAGGCCGGCTTCCTTTAAATACACCGTCGTTGATTCGTGTATTATGAACCCAGTCTGCTGGTGCTTCAATTCGATGGCTCTGAAGCAATTTGTAATAGACATTTCTTCTGCAAGCTTTTGGATTTCTTTTTAAAAGAAGCCTAGGTGCAAAAATAAATCCTTTGGGATATACGCGCTCAAAAATTGGTTCTTGGGATGTCCACTCTGCTGCGTTCGTCTTTCTTAGGTTCAGAAATGTAGGGCCGCAGCCTAAATTTTAGAAGGGAAGCGTCGTAGCACATTCAAATAATTCCTTCTCGGAAATTGCCTTTTTCGGAAAATCAACATTGTCACGACAAAAAATCAGTGAGTAACAGTTTACTTCATCAGGGCAATTAACAACGTCGGCAATAAGTCATGATGCACAAGGAACAAGTACCATTAGTTAGTATCGTGTGCAACGAACTTCTAGCGAGATTTCATTACAACGCCTGGATGCAACTATTCGAACTCTGCGGATGTCCGTGTTGCATACGCACGCAAGTGAAGGCGTTTTGACTCTCCCGGCACTCGTCGCTCGCTATTTCACCCTGGCGCGGCAGCGGGTTGTACTGCGACTTCGAGGATCCAAAATCACAGATCCCCTTCAATGCTTCGTTCATACAACAAAAATATACTCATAATGCATACGTGTAATACAATATGTATATATCATTAATTATTGGTGCTACTAGCTGCATATTTCAAATCTGTTTTTCAAAAGGGAGGAGGATTGAGTTGTTTTTGGTTGACTTTTTCCTTCATCCCTACTCCATTGTTAATTTAATAATGTCCCATTTAAGCATGCGACCTAAGAGAAAACGTCAGAGTTCTTATGATTTGACTTAAATACAAATATTTCATTTTTAAATTATGTCACTTTGAGAGTGCACTGGGTGACTCAGGCCAATTGTTCCGATCGTGCTTCCTTTTGACCTTTTTTGTCGTAGTTCGTTTTTTCCTCCTCTTTATTTTCCAATCGCTCTTCTTCTCCCTCATCTCTCGAAGACTCCTTATCATTTCTTGATTCCACGATAACCGTGAGAGGAAAACCAGCATTTTTGAGAGCCCAGGAATCGGAAAATATGGACGAAACTCTAAAAGCGCCCTCATCTCGGTGGCTATGCAATTTGAGCTACTTGGAAAGTTAACTTGCTCAAGCTCAGAATCGTCGTGTTTTGTTATTATAAAACACCTACGCCGCGTTGCTCCTGATTTATTATTCCTCGATTCCCTCCGCTCTCTATTCTCCGCTCTTCCTTGAAGTGTATTTATCTCCGTTGATGAGTGGCGGTGGTCTTATTGTTAGCGGTGGCCATCTCATCGTCGCCTCTCTGCCGGAAGAGCTTACCTCGATTTTCCCATGAGCCCCAGAGAGCATGGATTTACATGTAAAGCAAGGCTCACGTTGAAATTTGGATACGCCCTTACGTCAGAGAAGCGACGTCATCAGTGCGGCATCGCATCGCCGCGATGCTGGGAGCGATGTTGAGTGGCTTTCGGGCTTGACTGATCCGTTTTACGACGTGTACGAACAATGAGTTCACTTCGCGAAGCTCTCCTACTCTACCGTACGCAGGAAAAATACCGTATGAACATTCAAACGTTGTCAAATATCACCTGATGAAATACAATTTTTCGGGAAAAATTATATACGCTTTCCCATCGATCTTTTTAATAGAGTTTCACTCGCATTTTACCCAAACGTATCTGAAAATTCCAAATTAATATATGCATAATTTTGTTCAACAATTAGCATTTTATTCGGAAGAATTTGGCAACATACAATTGTTCATACGGCTTTTTTTAGTACCGCGGTAGCACTATCAACCCGAGCGCCAGCGGGAAGTCAAAGCACCGGATTCATTCTTAACGCTAACTGTATCTCGGTTCGCCCGCGTTCTGCGTACATTTTTGGCCCGAAGACGATGGAGCTTTCGAAGGTTGACGCAGTTAATTTTTTTAACACGATCATTTTATTAGAGGCATGAAAAAGGAAGAGCATCGAGCGTGCGTCACTCGCGAGTGCCTGGAAATTCGCGAAAAACCTCGAGAACACGCGAGCATCCACGAATGACCTTAATTATACGCGAACGTTCGGATTTCAGAATGCCCGCGAGAAGCCTCTAATAACCGCGATGCAATAAGAGTACTCACTAGTGCCCGTAAAATTACGAAATCTCCCGAGAACTCGAATTAAAGAGAAAATCTTACGACAAAGAGCCTTAAAGAATGCCGTATCTGGACCGATCAGCGGACTGATTGTCGAAATTGGTATAGACAAAGCGATGGACAAAGAAGACAAAAAGGATATAGAGGGATCCTGTTGGTGGAAGTGGGTGGTTTCAATCAAATAAAAAAAGGCACGACAATCCACGAGAGACCCTTTAGCTAGTCCATCATTGTTTCCCTTTGTCTGCAAGAACCACTTATTCTAGCCAATACCCAGCATCGCTCCATACTCCTCATGTCTTCTATGTCTATCGCTTTATCTATGAATTCCAACAATCAGCCTGCAAGAGTCTACCAAATCCTACCACCGACAAAAATTAGAGTAAGCCGTAGCATCTGTCTATCTGAGAAAATTACAACCAAGTCTATTCATATGTGTAGGAAGTTTTTGAACCATACGAAGAAGCTGGCTAGTGAGGATAAAATTGAGACCGCAAAAGTATGAAAATACAGCCAAAATTTTACTTTTGAGACCTCACACCTCGCACCAAGTATAATTCTTGACATTATAATCTTACTTGAGATTTCGTCTTCAAACATTGATGCAACCAATGTAATGATACTTCCTTCTTTACGTAGAACCCAGATGTAAATTTTATGCTTAAAAACATCCAAAAGGGGGTTCTCAAAACATAATTTTGGATTTTTTACAGGTTTTTTTATAGAATCCTTGATAAAAGCTTTTTAATTCATAGTGTTGTCATACAACTGACTATTTTTATGAGCAACCATTGCAACTGTCACTACTAGTTTTGCTGGGTTTGTAGCCCGTCTTGTTTTTTATGAACACAAAAAAAAGGTGGGGGATAGTTTCGTGGATGCATATCCTGAAGTGGAAAAATGCGATTTACCACCAGTCACGGTGAGTTGTTCTCAGGCTTCACCTGAAAATATTTTGGAGGCGCTCATAACTTGATCAATTCCAGGTTCCTCACCGACCAGAGGTGCAATTTCAGAGCATCGATTACCCTGCAATCCGTCCATAATTTGACCGTCGGACGAAAATCCGGCACTAAAAAAGCGAGAGCACGTAGTAAGTTCAAGGCGAACATAACTATTAGATTTTGGCCTTGAAATTTCAATGGTCATTTTCCTCGCGCGGGAATCAGGATGCCGCCGGAGCCGGAGTCGCTTCAGATGAAGTGCATTATATTACGTGTGATCCAGCGCGCGTGTGCATCGAAAAGTGCATTTCGGCTCAGACACAAGGATCGCATACTGCTTTACCAAGGATGAACGCACACTTGACACTCCAATTGTTGCCTAATCGCCTTCCAAGTAGCATTGTCATCTACTTTCTAGGTGGCGCTCATCGAGAAAATGTATACTTTCTAGATGGAACAATTTTCTTGAAAGAAAGTACCTAGGTAGAAAGGAGATCTAGAAAATAGACACAAGAAAATAGAAAGAAAATACATTTTTTCCTTGCATTTTCTTAAAAGAAAACATTAAGAAATTGGCCAGAAAATAATTCTACTTTCAATAAATTTTCTGTCTTTGTTCCAAATGGGAAGTTGACAGAAAGTAGACCTATGTAATAGATCTATTTTCTTTGGTCAGACTTTTGACTCGCAATGTTTTTTCTTTCTATTTTCTAGATAACTCTCATTTTCTTGGTATTTTCTAGAAGTTTTCTTAATATTTTTTTTTCTAGAAAAAAAATTCTATTTTGCTACTTGGCCTCTCAGAAAATATTTATTTTTGAAGACCGCTATGAATGCGTTTTTCTTTGAAATTTTCAGACACATCAGATTAAATTACGAACAAAATTTAATAAACATTTGGAAGAAAAATATTCACAAATTTTCTGGAAAATTTGTGCTTTGTCAAAGGCGATTTAGCAACATTGGAAGGCTCAAGGGGCGGTTTCTCTTAGCATGGTAGCATAAGTGAGACCGGCGCACAGCGGAACGAACCATCGAGAAAGGTCGGCCACAAAATTTTTGACTAAAACCGCAATTTTTTAGATTCATTTCGTTAAATTTAACTTTCAAGGGTTTTTTCAAATGGGAGATACCACGAGAAATCCCACGGAGCTACGTTTTAAACCTCTAAGTTACTTATTGACAAAGATATAACGACGGCGTAAGTCCGCAATCACATTATTCGTTTGCGGTGTTTGAAAATCTCCGCTACTATTTTATTTTCTTAAAGGAGAACAAATCGACATCATTTCTAGTAGTTTTCGCAGAATTTTCTCGGCACTTTTAGAAAAAGTTTCACGGCAGCTTTTAAGAGTTCCCGTTGAGTAGTTTTTCATTAGAAAAGTAAAGTATATGACAGGAAGTGTGCGATGTCGCAAACCGAGAGACTGAGATACGTGGTTGCAGACTTACACCGTCGATAAGTAAGACCGGCCGGCGCTCAGTGGAACGATCCATCGAGGAAGATTTTTTCAAAATAATATTCCTCGCGGCATTTTTCGAATATGCGGCTCGATTTAAAACCCAAAATTATGAACTTTTTGGTCAACATCGTTGTACAAAGCCACTCACAATGGATACAAAAGAGCGCCTTCAAATCAATCCGTATACTTAATGCAAAATTCTGATACCACTATTCGTGCGTCACGGTAGTCATTTTGCATACCCGGCTATTTGAAGGCGAATCATTGACTTCGGGCCAAAGCCGGGGGCCGCCCCCTGACCCCTAAGAAGCTAAAGCCGGGGGCCGCCCCCTGACCCCTAAGTAGCCAAAGCCGGGGGCCGCCCACCTGGCAACTAAGGAGCCAAAGTCTGGGGGTCGCCCCCCTGGCAACTAAGGAGCCAATGAATTCGTCTTATTGATTCCCGCAATGACTTCCGCTAATGAACCTTAGATAGCTGGTCCACTGGGCTCTGTCCAAAGACATAAAGACGGAGTGCTCGTATCTAAAAGCACGGGGAAAAAGTGAAGCCTGGTTTGGCGCTGGGTGCTTGTGTGAGTGTGTAAATGAGCGCGGGAATCCATGGCGGCAAACGGAAATTTGATTTGAACTTGTCCTCTTGATTTTTCCTTATTTCTTCTTCTAAACGTGTTTTAAATGCCTAAAACGATTATATTAAGAAAGTTCAGTCTGCGTCCTAATATAATACACCTACTTTTGCTCAGTAACAGGCAGTAATCTCAGATAAAGTTAGTTTTTCTTCTGCTCATGGTGGTTCTGCAGGTTCAAACAGGTCGTTACAGTTCTTGATGACCGTCACTCCCAAATGAAATTAATCGGTCGACGACGGACCAAAGCTAACCTAAAGTTAAAGAAATATGAGTGGGTAAGTGAATTTGGGCAAAAATCAACCTAGAATACTTTGTTTCCGCAATTATTTTATTCAGTTCCCGCCCTACATTTGAATTCAAACTTGTCCCGATTTCGCCGCCAATCCTCTAGCCAATAGTAGAGGTGGTTGAAAAGAAGCTTCATTTTTTGCTTTTAGCCCTCCGTCTTTATGTCTTTGGCTCTGTCGCACTCTAAAATAGCGTAAAGTTATTTTCAGTATGAGTGCGCTAAATTGAATTTCGCGCGAAAAAGACTCTTGTCTTACGTCATCGCTCGTAAAGGTATCGTCATCAGCATGGCGTCTTCCAGATCGTTAGCAAGTAAACAAGACAACTACGCCATGTTCTTTTCTGAAATCTGTAACCAAGTGAAGTTGAGTGTCGGCCTTTTATCACTGTCTAATTAATGTTCGCATTATGACCGTGTTGATTGTGCCTTTTTACAATTAAAGGTTTAAAAAATCTCGAACTTTTTGATTGTGCAGTTTTTCCTCGTATTTCTTTATACTATCACGCCGATAACGTCGTTGCACCATGACTGCTAAGAAGCCCTCGGGTACTCATTTAAATGATCTTCGTGTCATCGATCTTAAACTTGAGCTAGAAAAAAGGAGTTTGGAAACGAAAGGCGTCAAAAAAGAACTAACCGAAAGGTTGTCCAAGGCAAGTATACCATGATGTGATCTTAGTTTCGCTAGTTTTCTACATGAGGTCCCCACGACCGTAGAATTCAGGGACGCCATTTTACCTAACCTCTTTCTAATATCTCATCCATTTGCGAGATTTGCCTTATTGAATGCTTTAATAAACTATTTATCACTCCATTGCCTCACAATTTCAACATGTCTGCAGCGAGATTTTTCTTCAATATCATGAATATTCTTGGTTGGGATCAATATGCAAATTGAGTTCTTGCATTTCCCTCATGTTAAATTTTGCGAGGATCTCAATGGTGACTTTGGTTTCTCTGAAATCGTCTCCTGCGCCCAGATAAAGTTCTCAAAGCGCAGGCTGCAGTGAGGGAAATACCCCACACCATACTGAAAGTCCATCTCCACATCAAGTCAAACTCTCCATGCTCAGATATTGAGCTAACACATTTTCCGGGTTGCCAATTTGTTTGGAGACTCCGAGACAGGAACCACGGCAACCTTTCTAGCATATTTGATCCCTATTTCCTATTTGTACATGGAGTAGTTGACTAGATGTAGAGGCGACTCTCAAAATAGTATGGGATACCACCTTTATTAAGTACAGCCTGAACTTTTGTGCGTCTTTGAAATCAACTTGTTGATTTCAGTGAAAACCAGTGGCACTACCGTGTTTCTCGTAAAATTTTATATCAGTACTTACTCAGAAATCAAATTCCTCACACATGCCAAAACTCCATTATTTTTAGTGTGTACCCCTGCTTAATCTGGAACGAAGACTCGACGTGTCTCACCTTTCAGGTTCATTTTACCAAACTGGAAGTGCAGCAGGCCCCCAGAAAAGCAATTGATAATTGTTTTACCTTCCTCAGTCATCATGGAAGGAAAATAATAATATGGCCAATTAAACTTGATTGTAGTCCATGTTATTGGACCGGTCAATAGCTGTGCGGATATGAGGGGGGTTGAATTATGTAATGTGCTTGGCAGTCTGAACCAATTAGAGGAAAAAGCTCTAACTCCCTGTCAAGTCCCTCCCTCAATCCAACCCCAAAGTTTATTTCTCTGTATGGAAATAATTCAAACTCATGATCAAGCCACTATATATATGTTTGTATACTCAACCATAGCCGTAGACGCTATGAGTGCGTTAGATATATATCGACGGTGTAAGTCCGCAATCACATAATTCATTTGCGGTGTCTGAAAATCTCTGCCTCTATGTTATTATTTTAAAGGAAAACAAATTGACATAACTCCTCGAAGTTTTTACAGAATATTCTTCGCACAGAGAAGAAAAATCACGGCAGTTTCAAAGAATTGCCGTCGAGTAGTTTTCCGTTTAAAAAATAAAGTATGACAGGAAGTCTGCGACGTCGCAAATCGAGTTATGTGATTGCCGACTTACACCGTCGATATCCATTTTTTTGCATTGGTAGCATTGAAAGAGGTTATGCCAATGTTATTGTTTGGATCCAATTCGATATTATGGAAAATCCCTATGATGACGCGCCTCTAATAGCGTCTACCCGTTTTTCATAGCAGTTGTGAGTCTCATTTATCTCTATGGTAAGATTATGCAAGTTGTGCACCAATATTGAACAAAGTAAAGTGGTCTCAATAGTACTGTTCAGGACAAAAAGTGAATTTGGATCCATGCTGGCAGTCTGGCACCAGAATATTTATTAAAAATGAGAAATTCGATCGTATCCCCTAAAAAAATTGTTTGCCTTGACATTCATGGATATAGTAAAGTTCAAACTTTACTATACCTATCCAGCATTATGTGAACTCTTTTTATCCTTTTTTTTTTTGTTTCTCAGAATTTTTGCAGATGCAAAAATTTCTCACCCAATTTTTCCAAAGCTAAACCTAATTTTCTTTGCATTTTACAGGCATTAGTTGATGAAGGCCACAATCCGGAGGAGTATCTCTTTGATCTCAATTCTGAAAAAAAAGTCAGCGCTCGTAAAAGTGAGTCACTGTTCTATGCTATTTCTATTCGCATGTCTTAGCTTTTCATTTACAAAATGATTACTGAGGATTGAATAATTTCAAGGCTATTAGCTCTGTCTTCAGTAATTTTTCTTTCACATGTAAGTAATGTGATTTCACAAGTAACTGTTGTTTTCTCTCCAAGTTAACATTAGTTGTTAATGATTCCTAATTTTTTTTCTACTTATTCTTTTTATCACTTTCTTATTTCCTTTTTCCCTACCCAGTATCTAAAGCTAATGTCTTCATTCTTTGTGAAAACATAAGGTAGTAGTGTTCTTTATGTCAAATATTCCGATACCCACCAAAAGAAAAGAAAGTAAATTTTACTCAATGTACAGAAAATGCATTTGTTAGGTTTAATCTTTATGAGTCACATGTCAGCTGAAAGGCCATAGCACAGGTGGAGCTTACAAAAACACATTTAGGTCACTTTCAAGAAAATTTTAAAAAAACGAGGAAACTAACAAAAACTTTAACAGAAATTAATGGTACGCTGATTCAAGTATTTCTCTGTATGGGCATGACTTTCTGTCCAGCCCCTGTAAAATTGCTACTTAAGCCGTTGATGAGCCTCAAAATAAATATAATAATGGACCAGTATATCATTAATTTGTGTGGCCAGTTTTTAGATTTTTCGTAACAGATGGGCTCATGTTTTTAAGAATGGACAAAGACTCTACTCCTAGAAGCTCTTTGAATTGGTTAATGTGAAAAAATTGGACAAAACTCAGTCGATTTCCTTTTTTGTTTCAGAGGATGAGCCAAGTGCCGATGACAGTTTGTCCGAGAAAGAAGATAAGGATGCAAGTATGACAGAGAATGGGAATTCAGAAGATGCAATCAAAGAAGAAGAGGTAGAAGAAAAAGCTGATGAACCAGAACCTAAGATTAAGAAAGAGGAGAAGAAAGTTACTAAGGAGGATGTGAAGGTAATAGAAGTCGAAGAAGTTAAAAAGGAAAATGGCAGTAGCAAGAAAAAAAGCGATGAGGATGTAGTTGTTAAGGCAGAACAGTCTGAAGAAGAAGATTTGGAGAAGAAAGAAAAGGAGTCTGAAAAAAGTGAAAAGCCAGCAGCCTCTGAAGATTCTGATAAAATAGAGGATGACGCATCTGTAAAACAAGATAAAGAAGCTCCAACGGAGAATGATCAAAATAAGGATTCTAAAGAAGTAAGGAGATCATATTTTTTCTTTCTATCTCTTATTTAATTTTGCTTATTTGCTGCTGTATTTGATTAATGAATGTCATAGAAATGAATACTTTTATCAGGGTTGCGACAGTTAGGGAATACGTGGAAAACCTAGAAATTTCAGGGAAAATTGCGAAAGTGTCAGGGAAAAATTGGTAATTTACCTTTATCAGCTTTCTAACGTGGATTTTACGTCTAGAACAACAAATTTTCTCTGGAAACTATTTCAAATTGTTTCTTCGGCACAATGGTATATCTTTAATTGTCAGGCAAATCTACTCAAAATTGTCAGGGAAAATGGCAGGGATTTTCATTTTCCAAATTCTGTGACAACCTTGTTTTGTTAGCTATTTTCCCCTTTTTAATTTTCGAGCAGATAGAAGCAGAGCTCTTCATGAAGTGATCAGCAAGCATGCTCGATCCCATGGCACCATAGGGTGGATTTTGATAGTTGTCACCCTTTTTTTTCCCTCTTCACATATTGATGCGGCAAAATCATTGATTAAAGCTAAACTGAGAAGTTAGGTTGCAATTTTTGTTGAAAAAATCTGCCTGTGTGAGACATTAGTCAATATTTGTCGATAGTCCATGCAAATAATTCTTCCTAAACTATGCTGGGCAACAGTGTACTCTAAAAATCACATCTTAGAAATCTGTTCCGTAATTTTTTTTATTTATTCAAATCAAGCAAAAAAAACCTGTTGATGGGCCTAGACATGTCGATTCATCAGCGCTTTCTCAGAGCTATCTCTCTCAATCTAATCTTCATAGATAAGTGTGAAGAGACTATTAGAGTCTAGTGATGGAGGAAATCACTTATTTTATTCTTTTATCTTTCAGGTTGCCTCTACCAAAGGCACAGCTGATGATGATGATTCTATCATGTTGAATATTGAAGAAGATGAGAAATTACTGCTTGGAGAGGTTAGTTAAATCTACATATTTCCTTTAATAGTCCATTAATAATCTTTATGTCAATACAAAATGTAGTGGTCAACAACAGAATACTTATCGTCTTGTGGTTAGCAGAAACGTTTCTTTGTCAAGAAGAGAAGCTTGATAAATGGGGAGAAAATAAGCAACAATGTATTTCACATTAATTTTGTCAGTATAAGGCAATACATTGTATGTCAAAGTGATTAAACGCAATGAAAAGACAGTATTTGCATAATGATAACATAGAAATCCTAGCTGTTTTTTATGCTGCTAAATCATTTCATAATTTTTGTGATGGAGGTGCCATTTGGTCAGAGGAGTAAAGAAATGAGTTCAATGTCAAGTGTTAGCACCTGGCACATCTTTAAATTAAGTTCAATGAAATTATATTCTCTTCTACAAAATTGCAGACAAAGTAATAGAAAATAGTAGTTCTTCGCGGCAGCTTGCTGGCACAATCTTGCCTTGTTTTCAAGAGAAAATGTATCGGAGGCTTTTCATCGGATTTTCCTCATTACTTTGTTAAAAAGTACCTCACAGTGGTTTGAGTCTGACAGAGCGTTTCACTATTTTCATAAATTATTAACCCTCTGGCTCAAGTAGGCATTGTTCATCTATATGAAACCTTCAGCGGTGTTTTGCCTCTACAAAAAAGGGTGAAAATCAGCGGATGTCTGATATGACTTCTTGATGTGCCTTTTTCTGTTGAATTAAAAAATGACCTCAATTTTTAGGTTTTGGAAAGTACTTAAGGATTTTTTGGGAGAATCCTATTAGAATTTTGAGAGTACGTATTTACTAAATGAGGAAATTTTCCACAATGCTCTTCTTACATAACTTAAGAACAATATATGGGATCCCTATAATTACAATTCATTATCTTAATTCATTGATATAAGCACACCTTCGTCCATGTGAGTAGAATGAAGCATTAGCAGGCTGGTCACAATGGCTAGCATTAGACCTTTTCACTGATCTACATGTCTCATGTATATCAATGACTTGCCCATCTTAATTACTCATCTCATTGTTAGTGTCAATTATTTTGTTTTCTGATTTTAGGAGGACGGTGATTCCGAAAAAGCTCAGAAGAATAAAGGTAATGTATTTCATTCTTTTCATAACATGGATGAAGCTTTTATGTAGGAATGTTAGGTTATAACACATTAACAGCAGCAGGGGTTATAATGGCTCAGACTAAGTGTGAAGTTCAACCAGGCGGTGACTTTTTTTCTTTTTTTTTTATGTCGATCAACAATAAATAGACAACATCCAGCAACGTCAGCTGTGAAACAGGCAGTAGCAGCTGTAGAAATTGAATAAGTCAGCTGTAGGAATCAGTCTCCGGCAAACATCGGCAGTCCAAGTATCATCGTCTTCGCACTTTGGATCTACTCTCTGGACAAGGAGACGCAGCCAACAAACTTAACCGTGGAAATCAAGTCTTGTCGTTGGAGTGTGCTGTGAGGGAAAGCAGCAGTCATTGTCGACAACTGGAAGCTACGGAAATGGATTTTATAATTTCAAGTCATTGTAGCCATCCCTGCTGTGTGTTTCATGAATTATTTTAAATTTTTAATGCAAGTTATGTCGAGTAATTGGGATTTTTTTTCTTCTTTTTTTTTTTTCTTTTTTTATCACATTATATTCTCTTTAATATTTAATTTGAAGTATTGTACAGAAAGAAGTCTACATTGCTTTACTCGTACATTGCTTTATTGAATGGAGAAAGTGAATCTGGAGCCACTGATTAGTTGTGTGTCCCAAATTGGGCCAACTAAGCAGTAGCAATTGCAGCCTTCACCGTCGGGCAGCTGTGGTGAGAAAAAGAAGACGAGACAGGCCACGAGATTTCATTTAGTGATTCTTCCATGTCCCAGATGAAGAAAGTCCTGAGGGTGTGTCAGCAAGCAAAGAAGAATCGAATGAAGAGAAGAAGGAGTCAAGTAAAAGTGAAATGGATGTCAAGAAGAATGTTGGCGTCGAAGAAAAGGGTGATGAAGAAGTACAGAATACTCAGAGGTTGGTCCTAATCTTAGCTTAACACTTTCTTCGCAGTCTGATTTTTGCGGTACCTCATGTTCGAAATTTTACAATCCCACTTTTCTCCATTCTCAATCATTTCAGACATGCTGTCTGAAACTGGAGGAGGAGTGTCTGATTTTCGCGGTACTTCACGTTTGAATTTCACAATTTCACTTTTCTTCATTCTCAATCATTTTAGATGTGCTGTCTGAAACTGAAGGACGAGTGTCAAGGGCTCGTGGCTGAATACCAAGTTTGCGTTGCTCAGAGATTTTGTAATTTTAATTTCTGATATAAGTTCTTTATTGTGCTTACAAAGCTAAGTTATCTTTCTCCGGTCTAAATCTTTTTAAGATTATCAATTAGAAAATAGTTTAATATCGCAGTAAAATTCTAAATTCTTTTGACACTTTCAATGTAATTTTTGAAGAACAACTGTAATAAAAAATCTGAAGTCCTTTTTTTTTATTGTCTAAGTAGCTGAGGCATCATATTCTGAATGCTTCTATTTTTCGTCTGCTGTAACCAGATTTATCTGTAAAGTGAATATTCTTAAAATTTCCGTGATGATGCTCTCGCACATAATTCAAGGACCAAGTAACTAAATGAAAACTTCTCTTTCAAACTTTTACTTATTCGAACCTCAAAAATGACCTAACTGCAATTCTTTCAAATTGAATCAACATTTAATCCCATACCGTCATCAAAAAAGAAAAAGTAGAATCAAAATCAATTCTCTGCAGTCGTTGAAGTTTGAACCGCACTTCAAATTTTCACGGGAAAGTACTGTCCAGCCCAGCAAATAACATCAAATGTACATCTCTGGAACTGAGGATTCTCAAACAATTTTTTAAAAGAAATCCGGATCAAAATACATCAGAACTACCTCTTACACTCTCGGATCTGCAAAGCGATCTAGTGTTTTTATTTATACCCATGTCCAATTTTAATTATGTAAGAGTGTGGTTAGATCAAGGAGGATTATTTGTGTGAATGTGTGTGAGGACAAGTAGGCAATATGAATTTGCTGTCATCCTGTGATGCCGAATCCTGTGTTTTAATAGCAAAGCAATGAAGAAGTTTTCCACTTGTATGGAGCCGTGGAAAATCTATGACTGGGAGAGTAATCAAAACTCCAGGAAGATGAAGAATCTTCATTTGATTCTGCAATAACCACAGTTCTGATGAAGATAAAAGCTCTTACTTCCACCTCAAACCTCCAAAACATCCATGGAATTGTTTTGAACTTCAGGCAGAATTATCGGTTGATGATCTATGAGGCCTAATCCATGGTTATGCTCTATGTCACGGAACAAATTCAGTTCATAGCTATTTCCGGATTTATATTCAATGTATCAGCACGTGTGCTGTAGATGGTCATTAACTTCCCTCTCTGAACAAATTACCCTACCGCAGACACAATATTACCGCCTTGCCCCTTAGCTATCATTGTCGTATAATCTGATGCAAAAATGCACCCATAAGGAACCTCTTTATCTTCTTGGAACCGTCCATCTGCCGTATCTCTCCGGAATCCTTTTTTAGCTCTTCTATCAGAAGAACACATGCCCTTTCTCGTCATTCACTCGTGTGAATTTGCAAATCTAGATGAACATGCTCTTCTAATCAATTTTTTCTAAAAATTGTCGGTACAGAACAACTTAATGAGAGTCAAATAGCTGGTGTATCAATCAGAAAACGAGAAAATTTCATTTATTGGTCCGAATAAGCTGATATTATCCTTAAAGGCAGGAAATCAATGTCAATTTGCTACTTGACAAAATTCAGTTTATATTTTTTTTTCTTTATGAAAATTTTCCATACTAACAGAAGAATTTGATATCTCTTTCAGAACTTTTCCCTCTTCTGCTCTTTTAAATTTTTATAATAAGAGTTCAAATCTACCTATATACTCTACATAATGTAACGCAATTTCTTGAGAAACAATAGTTATTCAAAATTAGTGAAAAAGTCGTAGTACCAATTATTTCATTCTCAAAGGGAGAAAAATAAGGGAAAGAACATATCTAAAAAGATCGATGGAAGGAATGTAATTCAGAGTGATAAATCACAGTGTGCTTAGAGCGTAACAATCATCATTTTCACTTATGAAGTAGATGTAGCAAATTACGTATATTTTATGGATAGCCACATCCCGGGCAAACTTTTTTAGGTCACAATCATTCGTCAGTGATGAAAAGGAATGAATCAGGCATGCCTAATTTTTAATTATCTCTTACATGTTTTTCTATTCTTTTCAGGAATGAAACAGAAGCGGGAGAGGTCAAAACAGATAATAGTAAGTTTTTGTCTATTACTAGCATTCTTGAAAGTGGGGGAGAAACAATTTTTTTTAGCCTCATTTGCAGGTACCAGCATTAGCGCGATCTCACATGAATGGTGTAATTGAGGGACCAACTGAATTTAATACTTTTGAAGCACGGAATATCATGTAATCCTAATTAATTAAATTTTAATTTTGCACATAGTTCATTCTATCAATGTACATATTTAATGAGTAAACCTGTTGGTTTTGCAGAACCACTTTCAAATCAGGGCTTCTTAAAAATAGATGCAGCTTTGTGTGAAAATTGAAATAAACGATGTACTGAAGTAATTCTGAAGGTAGGCCAAAATGAGAAGTAGAATGAGAGATTGTACAAAATTAATCTTGATAAGGAGTTTCAAATAGTGATAATGAAACAGTAGCTTAGCAGTCAGTAATGAAAACAAAAAGAGGTAGTGCTCATTTTTCTTAGTAAAGATTAGTGCACTTAATTCACTGGATTTTTAACTGCAATTAGTTTGTTCTGCCTCTCATCGTTTAAGCTATTCAATTTTTTTTTTTTAATTCTTAGTCAATTGTAGGTTAAAATCTGAGAGTTGCAAACAAATTTTGTTCTTCGTTTCTTGGTTTGTTTGTACACAGCTTATTGGTAGAAACATGATTTACTGTGACTGTATTCATGATCGCTCTCATTACTGCTGCCAATGCGTTTTTATGGATACATTAAATGTCTTAGATGAGAGGATTCACCTTTGTTCCAATAGATACAGTTAAATAATTAAACAATTAATTGTTAATAATTTTACAATTTAATTTTCAGATGAGAAAAAGGAGCCAGCTGGCAACAACAGTAAAAACCTTTGGATCAGTGGATTATCATCTGCTACTCGTGCAACAGATTTGAAGCAGATATTTTCCAAGTATGGGAAGGTAAGTTGGGCCTCAATTATTTGTACCATTTATATATCAATTCCATTTTCTATGATCCTTTTTTTTCATCATCAGTTCACAGTTCACAAGTGTTTTCATATGCTTTTGTATCACACGGAAGATTTGTCTGGAAAGAAATAAACGTCAAACGAGTCTTACAGTCAATCTTTTTGCCATGTGCTTTAATGCAAGTATCTAGAATTTAAGTTGCTTTTAGGTACATATTCAGACGCTTTACACTCAGAGAGAATGAAGAAGAGTCAAAATTACATATTTCTATTTTATGAGGAACTATCCCAGAATAAATTAGCGTCCTTCAGTTTTTTTTCATTTATTTTATTGTTTATCATTGCAGGTGATTGGTGCTAAAATTGTGACCAATGCTCGCACACCAGGAGCGCGTTGTTATGGATACGTTACTATGCTCACAAACGAAGATGCTACAAAATGTATCCAGCATCTTCATCGTACAGAACTGCATGGACGGATGATCTCCGTCGAAAGAGTAAGTTCCCAATAACATTTTCCTGAAATTTTGGCAGTCCATCTGAATGAACACAATGAACTGACTCATTTTTAAGAATCGCGTTGATCTCAATTGTCCAAGGACCATTTCTAGGTAAAAAACATTCAATGTGAATCTTCAGAAGGCGACAGAAGTTCATGATAATGTAGATAAATAATGCGCTGTGTAGCCACTCATGCAAAGCGTAACTGAAATTGAGAGGCTTGGAGGACAAGGTGCATAAGTGTAGTTTTTGCTATTTCGAAAAATATGTGTTTGAAGTTTCGAAATTGCATGGATCTTTATGGCGGATAGAAAGTTCAAACTGACTTTTTGATGCTTAAAATTTGGGATTTGGGAGCAAATTTTAGACAAAATATGTTTTAAGACATGGTGTCTAGTTTTTTAAAAACCGGGAAAAACCGAGATTCATCAGGGAATGAAAATTTACCGGGAAAGTCAGGGAATGTGTTCCAGAAACTAGGAATCTCTTTCATTGACCTGATAATATCAACATCAGGAACATTTTTTTATTGACATTTTGAATATGCGCCAAAGAAATGGCTGTATGATTAATTAAAATCAATATTCATATCTGAAATTTAGAAAATTATATTCTTTTCCCCAAGAAAGTGGAAGAAAACTTCGGTCTCTCATTGGGAAATGAGCTCCTGAAAATCAGGGAATGAGCTTTGCCAAGGAAACGAGACACCATGTTTTAAGACCAGTTTAATTTAAAATCATTAAGTAATATCTCAATATTTTCAAAAATTGCACTTATGCGCTTTGTCCTCCAACTCCTCCATTTTGGAATTAACAAAGAATGCTGAAGATGAAATCGGGCATATTTTAATTCAGCGTTTTGCTAGCAAATTTTGTTTACAACTCGAAGGACTGGCAACAACTCGGTATACATCAAAATGATAAGATATGATACAACTGATCTAACTTAGAAGATAGGACACTAATCTAAGTCAGTCGTCAAAGAGGATGAGAAATGCACAGCCTTTTCTAATTTTTGAAAGAAATCATAAGTTGAATTGGACCCCCTGCGTTAGTTTTTAGCCATCCAAATTAATTTTAGCAACTATCTCTTCACCCTTAGGCGAAAAGTGATGTTAACAGTGGCAAACCCAAAACAAGTGGAACAGAAGATAAGAAGCGAGAACACACCGCTAAACCGCGAGTGGATGACAAGGCACGCAGAGAACATGAAGAAAAGAAAAAACGAGAGGAGAAGAAGAAGCGAGAAGAAGAGGCCAAGAAAACACCAGCTGGCGAAGCAGCACAGAAAGTTGGCACAGGTAATAATTTTCATTTTGATATTTTTTCAATACATGAGTACTGGCACCATCTTAATGGGTCATTTGCGCTGGTCACAGAATTTTGCTTGTAGGCTTGATTTCTGTAGATCAGCTAAAAATAATAAGATCTATCAAAAGAACAACTTTCTACGTTCAGTATTAGCCGAGATCTTGCCGTTTGGAAAGTTTGGTTTATGACAACATCCATTGCTGTAGGGACACCCTTGCTTTTTTTCTCCTTACTTTCATCAGTCAGGAAACAACACCATTTGCTCTGGATACTCAGTGTGTAGTTTGGATGAAAGCAAGTTGGAAGAAACTAAGAATGTCACCATGGCGGTAGATGACGTCATGAACCGAGTTTTTCAAAACGCAACATCTCTGTTAATATAGAATCTAAGAAGTTGCCGTTGGGAGAGATCTTACGATTTTTAGCTTTTATCTACGAGAATCAAGCATCAAAACACAATTTTGTGACCAAGGCAACGAACCCGTTTTCACAACATGCGATATTAACTTCTAATTTTATTTTCTAGCGTCACTGAAGTATGCTTGAATTTGAATAATCAACAAAATTATCGTTTGGTATGGGAAGTAAAATAATCGGTCTCTGGTTACATAGTGTTTGTAATTGGACTACATTTTGCAATTAGGAACTACAATTTATGGCTCATCCATAAAACCACTTATGTGCACAGGGAAACGAATAGTAAATTTGTTGTTTCAAAACTGAGCCAGAAATTGTAGTACTGAATTGTAAAATGAAGTTCAAATCTTTGTTATGTTCAATCGGTTCGTGATAAGCCTCGGAAAACCAACTAATCAAACACATTAATGATTTTCAAACTCTAATTGGTAATCAATAAATCATTAACAAATAAAGAAGGAGATTTAATTAAAATATGGGTAAACAAGGCTAAAAATTATTGAAACACTGAAAGGCAGGACGTTTTGAGCTGCTACCAGCTCATTTTCAGCTGCTAAAACACATAAAAACAAGTAAAAAATTGAGTGGCGACCTGACCCTAGCAGTTATAATGTAACCACTGGAATTCAGTACCGAACATCCGAGGCAGACATTTTTGCAGCTGAAAATGAGCTGGTAGCAGCTCGAAACGTCCTGCCTTTTAGTGTGTCAATAATTTTTAGCCTTGTTTACCCATATTTTAATTAAATCTCCTTCTTTATTCGTATATTCCGGCTATGTTTTTGTGCTTTATCATAAATCATTAACCTTCTATGGCATAGTGTTACTTATTCATACCATTGCATTTTTTGGTTTTCTATGAATTGATCTATTTCTTTGAGGCATGATAATGCAAATTTTTATCAGTGTTTTTTTTTTTTTTTTTTTAAACAAGATTGATTACCAAGAGTTTTAATTTTTAAAGGATCATTTTGGGGAACCTAATATTAATTCATGGCATGAAGGGTTAATAGCTCCTGAAACTGAGCTGTGAAGATATGCACCCAACATGATTGAGTTTACATCAACTTCTAAGATTTGACCGGATACTACCATCTTCTGTTCATTCCTAATGTTCTCCTCCTCTTTGGTCCAGAAAAAGAACCTGATGCTCCCGGAACAGAGGCAGAAGCAGCTGCAGCAGTATCAGACTCAAGCAAAAGTTCATCAAAGAAAGCAGAAGATCCAAAGAGAGCATCAAGCTCTGGAAAAGTTTCAAGTTCCAGTCGACTTTCGGGTTCTGGGAGACACTCTAGCTCTGGACATCACTCAAGCTCTAAACATTCGTCTGATATTCTTACTTTTGCTCATATTAAGGTAACTGCTCGAAACATGAAGATATTTTTTTGTTCTCCGGCATGCTGTGTTCAGGTTTTTCGCCAGTCTGGAAAATCTAGAGTACAAGAATTTACAAGAACCTAGATAAGTTAGAGAATTTATTGGAAAAGTGATGGAATTTTGCAAGGAGCATTTAGCAGAAGTCAGCTAAATTATGAGGGAAAATGCCCCTAGACTGGGTTTCCCATGGTGAACTAAAAATCGCCAATTTCGAAATTTCTCCCTAAATTTGGAAAGCTTTCTCCTAGGAGATGAGGTCTGTTTCACACATGCGGTCACAATTATTGCTCTCCCAAAAATCCTATCTGATGTCGCCAAGGGTCAAAATCCAATACACCAAATGGGTCAGTTGCCCTGGTCACAGAATCGTGATCTGATGCTTGATACTTGTAGGTAAGATAAAAATAATGAGAGCTGTCCAAACATCAATTTTCTACTTTCAACAGATAGAGAGATAGAGAGATATCATGCTTTGAAAATTTCGGTTTATGACATCATCCACTGTCGTTATGCTTACCGTGATCTCTTCCAGCTTGGATTCATCAACTCGTTCATATCATACACACATTTGTACTGCTTACTGAACATGAAACTCAAATGAAAGCAAGGTGGAAGATACTGAGGGTGGCTGTCACTACCGCAGTTGGTGATGTAACAAACGGAATTTTTCTAAGCGCGACTATCCCAGTTAATATTGAATGCAGAAAGTTGCTGTTTGGGCAGATCCTATTATTTTTAGCTAATTTACAAGAATCAAATATTGAAACACGATTCTGTGACCAGTACAACTGACCCATTAAAAGCAGCTTGAATGAAATTTCTGTAATGTAAAAGAAAATCAGATTTAAAGTCGTAAAAATGCTATGGGAACTGGTATTAGGTCTTTCACTACTTTTCAGAGCATGGACATATAGCCCTTCCATTCTTTTTTTCAAATCTTTTGAAAACCAGAAATTCATTCTCCGATGAAAGAGTGCTTGGAATTATCGTTTATGATATCTCATTTAGGGAGAGCGTGATAAGCAGAAATTACGAGAGCAAGAAAGGATCAAGCGCGATGAAGAGCGTCGGCAGAGAATAGAAAAAGAAAGACAGAGAGAAATCAGTCGCAAGCAAAGGGAAGAAGCAGCTCGATTAGAAAGGTAAGACTAGATTATTGTATCATTTTGATTTCTTATGTCACCTGCAATTCTCTCTATTGTTTTCTATATATTTTTACCGTGGAATGAATGTCTCACTTCAAACATTTGACAATTTTCCTTGAAAAATAGTTCACCTTATTTCATATCTTTCAATAGATAGCGTTCTCAAATGAAATGAGCACTTTTTGAAACTAATTTTTTGGAAAGTTTTCTGTAAACTTAGTAGTTTTTACCCTGTAGTATATCAGAAAAGAAGGTCTGGTACAGCTTTATTTGAGATCAGAGTATACAGTTTTCTTGAATCCTTTAAGATCTGTTGGTCTCCATCATTTGTGCCAGTTGTGTCAGTCGACTTCTGATGTGAATCTTAATTTATTGTCATTTTTGGATCCTAGGGAACGAGAAAAACTTCGTATTGAGAGAGAGAAGATTGAGCGGGAGAGAGCAGAACTGCTAAGATTGGAGAGAGAGGCTCAAAAACTGGAACGAGAACGGTTACAGCGTGAAAAAGAAGAACTCAAAAGGGCAGCTGCAAAGTAAGCACACAATTTTGATTTACTGTCTCTTTATTTTCGTCTCTCCTAATTCAGAATGCTCTTAAAGAAATGTTATTTTATTAATCACTAACCCCACATTGTAAATCTTGCAAGGTTTTCTCAAAATGCATCGAAATGGATACATTCAATTTTTGCATGAACTCTCTCAGTTACTGCATGGGTACCTCGTGAGCAGATCTTGTGGTTTCACCCAAACTTTGTTCAAACTGGTTTTTTCAAGAGGAAAGACTGATTTATTTTAACATTTTTTAAACAGGGTATAGTAAGACTTCGATCAATTCAATTTTAAGGAATGAGTTAATCAGTCGACAGATTTTCTCTGAAGTGAGCAAGAATCCATAAAATCCAACTTTTTTGGGGATAAAATGAAAAATGGCGGGTTCCTTGTGTCAAAAATCTGAAGTCGAGACAGAAAGGAAACCTGTCTGAAAAGATACTCGATACTGTCCAAATTATTAAGTGCCCTTCTTAGGTACTACCTCCCGCCCCAAATACATTTAAATCTCTGGAGTATTCTGGTTCTGTAGGGTATCTCTTAAAAACTTGTACTTCTCTTATCATCTTTATATCTCCGAAGCCCCCAATGCCTGAAGTATAGGATAAGAAATTATCGCTGAGCTTTATTTTATTTCTGTAATTTTCCTTTTCCTAATAATACGACTTACCGTTCCAGATTAGAAGACGTGAAACGAACTGTCAAAAGGGCTCAGTCAAGGTCGTCATTAGAACGTTCAAAGAAGCCAAGAGATAGCTATGAAAGAAGAGAGCCCACAAGATACAATGACAGGTAATATTGTTTTCCTCTGCAATCTTGTTTCAAGCTCTTTGATTTCTTTTTTTTAGCAGTCTTTTTTATGAGTTCTCTTTTATTATTAGTTATCAAGCATGATTCAAAATTGCTCACTTCAACTTTGATTATATCGCATAGATTAAAGGATTGCACCTCTTTATTTTGTAAACTTATTTTAATTATGATCTGAAGTTTTGATTTTCTAGTTTTTGTGCCTACCGACCAAAGTAGACATTAATATTCTCAAGAAAAAGGAAACAGTATCAGATGTGGATATATTCATTTGCATCCCATCAGTTTTTGAAAAGCGTCTTTTCGAGATAGCAGTATTTATTTGCAGCCTACGTATTTTGCAAGATTCTTCCTCCCAATTCACACATGTCAAATTACGCAAGAACAACAGTCGTTTCATTCTTTTCTCCATACTTGTAGTTTCTGGATTTTCACATTATATCCACCTACGTCATAGTGGAAGTTGCCTCAGCTATGATTGGAAATTGCCTCCGTCATCTTTTTTTCTATGATCTTTTACTTGCCTTAGGATCAGAAGGTTCTCTTTTTTTAGATATGCTAAATCATTAATATTTTGCATTATTTTGCTCTATAGGATAGAGGATAAACGTCCAATCAAAAGGCCTATTGAGCCACCCAGACCTCCTCCAGCAGACACCAAAAGACCAAGGGACTCAAGATACGACAGACCAGAGTCCTCTAGATTCAATGAAAGGTTAGCAGAGTTTTTGGTTTCAGTATTACAAAACTTCATACATATGTTCCAAATGCATGAGAACTTCAAGTTAAAACATTTCTTTGGAATGACTGAATCCCAGTTGAAAGGAAAAACATTTCTTTGGAATGACTGAATCCCAATTGAAAGGAAGTTGGCTTTCTATGGAAATTCCAACAACAGTGAAATCTCAATTATCCGAATCAATTAACATACATTTCCAGTATTGGGAGACATTTTTCTTCAATTTGAATGCTGTTTTTGCAAAATTGCACGCCATTGTCATCATTTTTTGATAGCTTTTAAAGTCGCTTCAAAAAATAAAACATATTTATCTAAGAACACTAAGTGCGCAAGAATTACATTTTTCTTATCCATTTTTATTTACTCTTGGTTGCTAAGCTTCACATGGCAAAAATCCTATTCATAAATGGGCTGTAATATGCAAAACACAGACAAATTTCAGCACTCTAGGCTCATAACTATTTATTTTTCATAGTGTCCTTTTTCATTGTAATTTTTGTTTCAATGATCTAGCCACATTTGACTGATATTACTTTTACAGCTTCAATAATTTTAGTTTGAAAATTAAATGAAATGTGTTGACATTATTTGAGCTGTAAATTCATAATATTACCCTTATTTTTAACAGGTATGATCGTCCTGAAAGGCCTGACCACCGTTCAGATCACCGCCCCAGCAGATCCGATAGACCTATCAGACCAGAGCGATCAGATCGCCCAGAACGCTCAGATCGTCCACCAAAAACATTCAGAAGTGGCAGTAGGGAGGATAGAAGACCTGCTGACCGAGGCCACGGAAGCGCTCCTATTTCACGAAGTAAACCTGAAATACATCACAGAAATTTTCACGACCGCAAGGATCACATCGGTAAGAATATTAAAGCATATCTTGTCAATAAATTTCGTTTTTTTGGAGCCAGTGCACTAATTCAATTACTAGACACAAAAAAAGTGAATGCATAGTGTGTTGGACAAGGAATATCTAGAAAAATCGGGACTCATGAAGGAATGAAAAATTTCAGGAAAAAAACAGGGAATCTGTCCAGAAACCAGGAAACTCCGCCTCTATTGCTGAAAGACCATTTTGTCTTCAAACAGTGTGGACATTTTAAGTACTGTTGGTATTAGGGTTATTATCACACCTGAGTTGTCATTATTAACCTCTTGAATGGAATTTTTGAGTCTGTAAATCATCATAATTATAGAGGAGCTTTCATTGACCAGATAATTTAATCACCAGGAACGCTTTTAGAATCAAAATTTTGAATATGCGCCTCAAATTGGCAGAAAGATGAAAAAAAATTCGATATTTGTACCTGAAGCTCTCTAAGAGTTACACAGTCCCCCCCCACAATATTCTGTGAAAGTGGGAGAAAACTCTGGTTTCTTTCAAGGAAATGAGCTCTCGAAAATGAGGGAAAAAATTAAGGAATGAGCATGATCCAAAATTCTAGACACCCTGAAGAACAATTTGAATTACATTTTGCAGTAAGGAACCACTTTCTCCGGCTCTTCTGTATAAGTAATTTTTTGCACAGCTAAACCAATGGCATATATGAGGACTTATCTGTAACAATAGCGGATGTCAAGTTTTCACATTGTGAGAAAATTGCGTTTGAAGTTTTTGAAGCTTTGCACTTTTCTGCCCGTAGAACGGAGAGGATTCTCATAAAGATTTTCATGAAGAGCAACTCTTCCGGTAAAAAACACACGTTTTACGATCTATGTAAGTGAAAAATTGAAGGAGTAACAGCGATTTGAAAAAAATGTGACATCCTCTATTTTTACTGAAAATATTTTTTTATGCATGAAACAAAGTCTTCAGAAAGGTTAAGGCTGGTGAAACGATTGAAATGAACTAAAAGTAAGTCAATGCTGAGTCATTCAACAAAATTGATCAAGAAACTAAACCGTTTGTAACTTTTACAACAAAAACAAGGAACAAATTCTAAAATCAGTTAAAAATTCAACAATTTTGGCGAGACAGTCCCGATACGTATAATTTGAGTGTCAGCTACAGCCCAGGCCGGTGGGCAGGCAGTTATCGCAAATGGGTTTGAATCTCCACAGTGTCCTGCCGTGCCGGCCGGGGAAAACAGTGGATTCGCACATCAGCTGTTTTTACAAATAACATGGTTTTCAGTTCATATCTCACCGAATAATTCCACTGGAAGTCTGAAACTTTGCACAGGCATTCTTGGAGGCTTTAGATTACAAAAAAAGCGTTTGCCCCAAAAATGGCGGATGTCAGCGACCGCTATTGTTACATATATGTATGTCCTCATATGTTGTTTCTTTAATGAGCCAGAAGTAGTGGTTCCTTATTGCAAAATGTGGTCCATGTTATCTCTTTCATCAATGATATGTTTCAAATATTTGCTTGTTCTTTGAACTTTTTATAACCCACAATCTTTCAATGGCATTATTTTCTTTGCAGGGGACTCGGGTGGTCGTTTCAAAGATAACTCCAGAAGTGACTGGGGCTCTACCCGAGGAACTGGTGCCTCCAGTGGTTTTGGTAATTCTACTTCTAGTTCGTCTTGGCTCAATTCAAATCCTCCAGAATCCAGAAAGGATGGCAATCAATATGTATGGAACAAACCCATGACTTCTCAGTCAACTGACAGGTATGTTCAACACTGAATTACAGATTCTCTCTGAATGAATTATACATTTTTGGTGTCTGTATTTTTCTTTGGTGATTTTTACTCCTTATTTTATTTATTAAAATTTTCTATTAAAAAATCATGAAAGGCTTAGTCATAAATTCCAGACCCGACGTCCTCTCCTTTTTCTAAAGCTTTTAACAGTTACTGCATGACAAAAACTGTATACGCCGCAGATAACATGCACCTCAGATTTTGAGGAGGTACAAAAAAACAATGGGTGTAAAATGCACAGTTTTCAAGGGCAAAAGTAAAAAACCTCAGAACAATTCCACCAAATTTTAAAAAGAATATAAATGGAGATATTTCTGAAAAGTGGTCACACTCGATTTAATAACTCCCGTTGTGCCCAACTTTCCCATCTCTAGATACGAATTGTTAGGTTCGAGTTCTGCTCGTTCGGCACAATCACTATTCACACTTGGCTCTGCCTTTTTGGTTCAGCGGCGCCAAAAATGCATTGATCTTGTGCAACAGGAAGACAAGTGTCCATCCAAGAGAAGCATCTATTCATGAATTCTATGATCTATGGGAAGAGAGGGAGCTGGAAAGCAATTCGTCATGACTGGTGCCTGAGAAATGCCCACGGTGGTCTGTGGCGATTGCATCGATAAGTAGGGCCTAAAAGGTGCGCAATTTTAGTGAGCTCTTTAGATAACTTGCACCCTAATTTTCTCGTGTCAAAAAGGAAGGACAAATGTGTGGGTTATCTGCAGGCGAATATGGTACATGAAAGGCTACATTTTTTCTTGAGCACTGTTAAAAACACGTCCCTCAATTTTAAAAGCTCTTTGCTCTAGTTCCTCTTAAATTACCTGTACCAAGAAATAACCTTTTCTCTATCCCTTCTGTTCTAACTTTATCAACTTTGAACATGTGTGTATCTTTGCACATCTTTTCTTATCAGGCTAAAAGACAAAATAAAAGCATAACTTTGCACGGTTGTAACTGGAAACCTTTTATCCTATTTGAAAAGGAATTTTGTAATTTCAATTTAGTTTTTGTTTGTGAGAGCGGAGTTTTGATCTATACTAGTTTGAAATAGGTCATAATGGTTCCATTGTGCTTGCTACAGAGTTGTGTTTTGATGCTTGATTCTCGTAGATCAGCTAAAAATATTAAGATCTGTCCTAACAGCAACTTTCTGTGTTTAATATTAACAGAGATATTGGACTTTGATAAATTCGGTTTATGATGTCGTACGCCGCATTAGTGACACCCTTAGTCTCTTCCACCTTGCTTTTATCCGAGTTTCATATTGCAAATGTGTGTCTTACGGAATGTGTGTCTTACGGAATGTGTGTCTTACTGATTGATGAAGCAAGATGAAAGAAACCATGGCTGTCACTTCTGCAATGGATGATGTCAAAGACTGAATTTTTAAAAGCGTAATATTTCAATTTATATTGAATGTAGAAAGTTACAATTTGGACAGAGTCAATCTACAAGAATCAAGCATCAAAACATGATTATGTAAGCAGCGTAACTGACCCATTCTAAGGATGATCATAGTTTTTGCTGATTTTAGAAGCAACCTGGCTCCATCTTTTGTAATATAAATCCTGTAATCGTTCTAATTGCTAGGGGAAGGTACAGAAGTGGTGTAAATATTTGGCTACCACCTCCTCCAAGATCCACAATTGCAAGTTACGTTGTACCCATTCCAGCTCACATGGGTACTCGTTGAATGCCTTTCATTTGATCCTCTTCTTCCTCCTCTTTCTTCATCTCCTTTATCCTCATCTGCATGTATCGTATGTATTTTATTCTTAGCTTTGTATCAATTCAAAATTCATCAACTTCCCGCCAAAGTATCATAAGCGCCAATTGAGCACAAGAGCAATGTAAAATGGAATAAATTAATCATGGCTGTTATGAACACAACAGAGACTTGAAATTTCGAATGCACACTCAGAATCATTATTATCATCTGATGTAGATAAAATTTGAGGAAGAAGGTTGAGTCAAGTGTCCATTTTGATGCTTGTGATACCCTGTTTTGAGACCTGATGATGTTTGTAATGAACGGCTTTCTATTTCCCTAGCAAATTTAAGTAAAATAATAGACAATAAATGTTTTGCCAAAAAAGAATTATAAATTTGACAAGTAAATTTTTATTTCAAAACCAGAAAGATCCCGAACCCAAAATAGTCATTTTGGTATCCAGTTTGTCAACGATTGTGCGTTTGATGCTTTGGCCGGAAGGTGACGAATTCATCTCATATTAGATGGTGATCTAGTACTAGAGTTCGGTCTCTGAATCCCCTTTTTGACTTCAATTGCTGTTCACTCTGTTATGAAGTACATATTATTTTTAACCATTTCCGTTCCCTTAAATTCAAAAATCGTCTCTTAGCTAAATCAAGTGTTATTGAGGGAAGAGTACATACTTTCTAAAAGCAAGGCTGCTATTCTTGTGCCAATTGTAAAATTTAAGTACCCAGAACTGCACTCCTCAAGATCAGTATGTTGAAAATGAGCATTGGAAAGTAAATTTTAAATAGGTGGAAGAATTCTTGATTAACAGCCTCTAAAAGTGGCCTAAATTGCCAAAATCTTATCAAAGTAGAATTCTTTTTTGTTTTCATACTCTACTGTTGAATTAAACTGTTGCGTCTGTCAGTCTTTACAATTTCAAATGCAAGTTCTTGAAACTATATTCATTAACTTACATCTTGAATGAACCGGAAAAAAGGTGCTAAATCTTTTGTAGTATTTTTTCTGTTAATTGACCAACTCTTACGTTGTGAAAAAAATTTCCAAGTATGAAGTAAGTATAGAGAAACAAAAGGAAGTGGTCCCATATTGGCCATCTTAAATTTCATCGCTGACGTAGATGGATATAGACTCTTGTTGTCATCGATATTATTGAAAATGGTGTAGTTTATGAAAAAAAGTCATTTTCTATCGCCTTGTCTCCACGGGACGTTTCACAGGATTTTTCCCAAGTTCGAGTCGCAAGAATGAAACTTCTGTGCTTTTACTCTGTTAAACAACACAACAAAGTTTCTTCTCCTTTTTTCTAAATCGTTCCTGGGATTCCATAAGGACTCTTAGTTAGTACTGTGATCAGTATTGACTATCTCAATATTTTTCCCAACTTCGCAATTGATGTTTTTCCCTGGGACAAATCTCATGAAACGTCCCGTGGAGACAAGGGACAGGTCTATGAAGTGTTGGAAATCATATTTTGCTGAAATATCGAGGCTGTATTCTGCTCACCTATGAAAATTGCAACCATTTTATTTTTCTGTACACAAATTAAATGGATTTTCTGTACACAAATTAAGCGGAAAGTTGGATTAAATTCTGCAAAATTTCTTTTTTCCAATAATCTTACATGGTATTATGTTTCCAGGTGGCCCAGTGGTGCGCCAATGGGAATGAGTCGAAATGTCATGAATGTTGGTAGTAATGCTCCGTTTAATGCACCACTTAACTCTGATTTCTCAGGTGGAATGTCAGGCATGATGAACAACACTCCTATGTCTTTTGCAAGTGATAGATTTGATGCCTATAAAAATATGAATAGTCATACAAGCATGATACGAAAGTATTAAGTCTCTTGATTCTTTCTCAATGTTAATCAAGCGATTTTTAATTGTAGGTCAGTAATATGTTCACAAGCATCATATAATTCTTATTGGTCACTTGATCTCATGTGTATGTGTGTAAATGTTTATGCGGAACAAATGTACAGGCTAGCCCCTGCAAAATGCACAATGGTTTTTATGTAACATTAATTATTATCCTTGTGTTAATCCTCTTATTTGTATATTTGGTTTTTAATTTTTATAGAACGCAATATATCAATTATCCTGAATTTCCCATTGCCCGCTCTCATTTTTAACCCTCTAGCTTCTCAATCAGGAGGACAAAATTCATCTTTTTCAGGTGAATTTGCTCAATTTTCAAGAAAAGTCTCGATTGTCATGTTCAAGACGGGTCATAATGTGATTTCCTCTCAAATAATTTAATTAGATCTTGGGAACATCTGAATCCTTATCACGCTCAATTTTGCTCTGAGAATAATTTCCTAATAACTGTCATATATAGAGGGAGAACCTCAAAGAGAAAAAAGTAAATGAAGCATACATATATTACTTAAATTATTTACTAGTTTTTGCTTTGTTCACAATAGTAGGGAAAAAAGAAGACATGTTTAAAACTTAGAAAAACCCGGAAACATCAAAGTGGTCTGATGTAAGACGGTAAATTTTTATTCACATTATAACAATTTAAAGGTAGCAACGTCCATTATTTTTGTATGAAGTGAATCATTACAGCGAACAAATAATGAATGAAAAAAATGAATTGAAGAGGTATGAAAATTAAATGCATTTCCTTGGGTGGAAGGTGACAGGATTGATAAGTCACATGGTATTTGAGTTTAAGTTGTAAATTGAAAAATATGCAAACCTAACTCTCATGGATTACTTTCCGAAATTTGGAATGAGGCAAATGTATCATATCTTTTTGTCTCTTTAATGTATATTGGAGTAAACAAAGGTAGAGTGAATGTCATGTAAATTTGTTGACCTCTAGAGTGCTCAAGTGGTCAACTATCCTCACCATTACTTTCTAATTTCAATCTAAAAATCAAGATGGCAGATTCCCTGTCACACTTCAAAAGCTGGCAAATCTATTTGATGTTTACTCTAAAACGAGCAGAACAAACTTCTTTATTTTTCTGCAATGAACAATGATCACAGACCTCTTTGCATACACAAATGATAAAACAAGATTAACAATTACCTTATGACACAAATGAACATCATGTTTCTCCCTATCAGTAGGGTCATTGATGTGTCTAGTACGTTTAAATTAATAAATACTTACGCTAAATTATTTACAAAGCAAGACAAATTGATGGAAATGAAACTGTGCCCGTGCGCGAGGATCAAGTACAGGAGTGGCCAGATATTTTTTGAACGAAATAGGAAAAGATAATAAATTGCGACAGCCTTTTCAAATAGAAGGAACCGGTGCTCCTTGAAGAGGAGCATGTAGTAGAGAGTATCGTCATTTTGTTAAACATTTTTTTTGATGAAAATACGAGCTACAAACTATCATGTACAACTAAATCCATTAATAAACTCTCTTGGTGCTTTCAGCATCATCATTGGAATGGATGATAAGGCGCATACGTTCAATTAAACTGTATGACAGCGGTAGTAGCACCTTTTTCTACAACACTTTTCAATTTTCCTAAGGCTTATTACTTGAAGTGCAGATCCAAGTGTAAGATGCTTGAATGCTGGAGGACAAAAATACTTGAATTCAATTATTTGGACGGAAAGAGCAATTCACACAAGGCAGGAAAAGGGTGCGGAAGATGATCTTATTACGACTGGTAGTTGAACTTACTGTTAATCTACAATCTGTCATTGACAACACTTGAGCAGCCAAAAAAAAAACATCCAAACTTAAAAAAACAGGCGATAGAAATTAAAATATCAATCTGAATCTGATGGGGCTAACTTACACATGAAATAAATAATTAACAAGTAAATTAATAATAAATACACTATTGTGAAGAATGAAAGTAATGACTATCCAAACAACAGACAAACTTTTTTCATTCTAATTTAATCAGCATTCGTTTTTGCAATACATTGTAAAGTAAATGAACTCTTCTGGTCATTCTGTAGTACATATCGGATTTGGTAAAACATGCATCCGTATTACTCGGGACTTTGTCTTCTTAAGCAAACCTCCTTCAAAATTAAATAAATTAATCACAACTGAGCTTAAACTACATTCAAATGTTGAGAAAACTACTTTAAGCAGTCAGTATTTTGTTCTTGTGAACGTTTATGACAATTGGAGTATATTTTGTTCTGTTTGAAATCATCCAAAACTTGCGTTAATAGCATTTCTGTTTCCAAGTACTTATTGAGATTGAAAATTTTTCTACCCATGATTGACTAAAGTTTACGGGGAGTTCCTCCACTTAGATAATGTCCTGGTATCAATCAGTTCAGAAATTACTCATATTCAGAATGGAAACATTATTTTAAGGAAAGGATTGCCAAGAATTTCCTAGGTTTGGGCAAAATACTCTCAACATTGCGAAAACCAAAACAGATTTTAAAGGCATTTAGAGTAAAGGCCAACAGGTTTCACCTCTAATAGGTAATTAAATAAACATATAATTAAAATAAAATTAACACAGGTAAAATGAATGAGGGTGGGGTTGATGAAATTGTTTACTCAAGACTGGCCTAGGTATTCAAATGGACTATATTTTGCAATTAGGAACTATAATTTCTGGCTCAGTTTAGAGACAACGTATGTACCATTAGTTTCCCCATGCACATAAGTGTCTTTACGAATGAGCTAGAAATTATGGTCCCAAATTGCAAAATGTTGTCCAAATCATAACATGCCACTTGAGGAATTGTACCGAACAGAGAGCTCGACTTATCACTAGTTATTGGTAGGCTAATATTTACAATTTTAAGCACCTTTCAAACTAATCAAGATATTAATCAAAATTTTACTGCTCTATTCGTCTGTAAAAAAATTTTTTTGGGTCTTCTACTAAGTAATAGAGGATGGATGATCCCAAATCGCCGAGTTATTGATGAGTAATGGAGTAGGAATGTTTTGCCGGCACTTTGAAAATAAAGAGCAAAAGTTAAATGCTCTCAAGGAGTGTATCAAGAAATGTATGAAGGGAGTCGCATTCTTTTACCTTCGATTCTATGATAGGTTGATTTTGATGCAGAAAACTCATCAAGTATGCCAAGAGCTATAAATGTACTAAAAAAATTAATTTCTTCATTGGAGCTTCAACTTCCTCTGTAGGTATACACTCATCCTTCAGTCCAAGTCCTCTTTTCCTGTAGCAGGTAAGAACATCGCAAGTATACCGCTCACTGGAATAAAGTAATAGATACAGAGGGAATTATTTTCAAGGAACTAAAAACATTGTGGAGCATCAGTGCGAGGAGTTTTGAATACAAAAAAAGTTTATCGGGACGTTCTAATTCGGATCGAATCAGAGGATGAATTGGACGCATTTCTATCAAACGGAACTATGTGCATTATGACGTGAGCCCTCTTACGGGCTCATGTCTTGATGCACATAGTTCCGTTTGACCATGCGCAATCGATACGCCTCAAACTACGTAAGATTCAACCATAATCTCGAAATTGTCTCTCCGGTCCGAAATCGAGCAAAGTCGACAGGAGTTACATGGAATAATATTTCGGGGTCAAAGGCCGAAACCAAGGAAGTCCCTTTTGGAAATGACCCGCTGAGTCAGATTTTCTGATCTAGAAAGCCCCATGAGGCTGCTGGTTCGCGTGATCGGCGAAAAACGCGCATTAGCTGCGAGCTTTCACCGAACGCTCAAAAACACTCGTTTTTGACAGTTTCTCGGTTCAGGGAGCCTCGGAACCATGCGCTATCGATTCCACGCCTCACACGAGGTAAGTTTCGACGTTCATATTGAACATTCACTGAACGGTCAAAGACACGCTTGTTTTTTAGCGTTTCGAAGGACTGGTATGATCAAAATTTACTGCCGCGGTATCACCGATCTAACTAATAAATGCATCGCGTCAAGTACAATAGAAAGCCACGTTAGCTATTACTAAAAACTGAGCAATTTAATTTTTTACATGAAAACGGTTTTGCGGATTTGGGAGCAGATTCCAGTAAATTTTCTGCATTGCGCGTCGAGGCAAATTTTTTAAAATTTTCAAAAGAATCCGCAAAAACGCCCTCTTGTTAAACGAAAATTAAATTGCCCAGCTAAAGACAGTGTAGCTGTTGTGGCTTGGTTCCTCTCTACTAAACACGGTCTAGATAGCACACCATAGAGAACGCGCAATGCGCGAAGTATTCACGCAGTCTCGTAGGCGCTAATATGTGTCGAGCGCGCACCGTGGTATACGCGCAATGCGCGAAGTATTCCCACGGTCTCGTAGGCGCTAATATGCATTTTGCGCCGCAATTTTAAATTGAATTGCCCGATTAAATTTTAAATAGCCGATATATGGCTTGGTTTCTTTCTGCTTAACGCAGTCCAAGTGGACCTCGTATTCGTTGGCACCTAAACCGTTTAATTTGTTTACGTAGAAGTTAGAAGGCGCTATGGTTGGAATGAGCTGCATCCCATGCATGTCGTACATTGCATACCTACCCAAGTAGCAGTGATCGCGATAAATAGCGATTTTATTGATTGGTTATTGCAATTATATGTCGGTGGAAATATATCGAAATATTATCGCTTTAAAAATTGCGATATATGGCGATGAAATCACTACACATCGCAATTTTTGGTTCATAGAAATCGCGATCAATTTTCGTCGATAAAATCGACCTTAAATCGCCATTTATCGCGATTTTTATTTCGAAAATATCGCGATAAATTGTCTGGCGATAAAATCGCGATTTTATCCCCGTAAAATTGAGAATAATCGCTCAGATGTTGATGACCCTAGCGATTTTATTGCCGATAAAATTGCAATATATCCCGATTTTTCCGTTGAAAAATGCTACTTGGGTATCGCCGCGTTGTCCTCGAGCCTATAGAGAAATGCACATTACTCAAGTGGTTTTCTTCCGTTATTCTCTTATGTGAGTAAATCACTGGGCTGAAGTTCTATGAAGCCCAGGTTTCAAGGTTAAGAGAACTGGAAAAATCAGAGAGGGGCAAACTAAGAAGAAAACTAATGAAAAAAATTAAACACTAAAAAGTGGCCCGAAACTGTATGTAACAAGGTGGAGAAATGGTGCTGGGTCCACACCATTTCGCGGGGAATCAAAGCCAAGAAATACCAAAAATTAAAATTAGAGTCAAAAATAAGAAGAAAACTATTAATCTCACTCGGATTCAGTAGATTAGAAGCTCAATGACGTTAATGGAACACTAGACAAGGTACGAATTTAAGCATTCTGATACATGTTTCTTAACCAAAATTTCACGTAAATCACGATTTGCGCAACGAAAACTAATGAAACAAAATCCAAACGAAGATATTAACATTTTTATTTCACATTGGTTCCGAGGAATTTGAACTGCCCGCTGACAAGAAACTCAAAGCTCTACGTGAGCCAAATCGCGCACTACAACGGTTTCAACAAACTTCTCAATCTAGTAATGTTCATTTCCCACCATGTGTTGTTCAAACTATAAAAAATTTGCTACAGCTGAGCCAAAGTGTCAAGATTGAGGTTGCAAGACTTTTATATCGCAGAGACTGTCATGATACTTTTTAGCGCACGATGTGAATTACGCAGAGCATTGAGTTTTCATGAGCGGGTGGTTTGAATTCACGCATCAAGAATCATTAAATATCTTTGGAAGGAGTTGATTTCGGTAATTTTCGTTGTGCGCGTCGTATTTTACGTAAAATTTTAATTAAGAAACAGGTATCAGAATGCTGAAATTCGCACCTTGTTTAGTGGCCCATTATTGTGGAAATATTTTGGAAGGCTAGCTTGAGCCAAGAAAGTTGTATGCTTTTCTACCCCTATAAGGCTCGGAGTCTTGACTAAATGACCAGAGTGTGCATCGATAAAATTAGAAACTTAGCTAGGCACTTATGTATATAGGTATCCAATGAATTAATTCTTTTAATTCCAATCGAAAGGTGGGCAGTTGGAATATATAGTTTGATGACTTATCAGATATTTTCAGGAACTAGGGGAAAATAATATTAAAATAAACTTAAAGCCATAGCAGAAAGAATAATAAGAGAGAGGAAGAGAGAGAGAGAGAGAAAAAAATGAAAGTCAAGATTTTCTACTCACTAAATAAAAGTGCTGCCATTAACATGATCGGCACGACGCAGAATGTATCTATTAAAAATCCAAAAACCAAATTGCCTAGAAGGGCGCCAACCCTACCAATTGTCGCCGAGAGAGCAGCAGCCATTACCCTGCGTCAGAAAGATATAAAAACGAATACATTAGTTATTTCCGGGGCGAAAATAGGCCACTCACGTGGCAAGACGAATGCAATTCCTAAAGCAAATGAATTCAATTTTGTGCGCTGAGAATATCTATTTCAATTCAAATTGAACTCTAGGTACAAGGTAAAAAGTCAGGGTTTCCATGTCAAAATTCCCTGCTTCCAGTAGACATATTAGAATTTTTTAAAAACAATAAATTACTCTTTGGCGAAATGGAATGTAGCAGGTCTATTCGAAGTAGTGTCATTTTTAAATGTCCATTGGATGATGAGATTAAATTCTTACGGTCCACACCACGTAAGTTTATCCACTTTTATATCGATGGGCAAATACGATAAATGAGGCATCTTGAAACAAAAACAGCAAAGTATATTTAGCTGATGAGCCCCAGATTACTTAAGAATGCTAGCGTTGTAGAGCTCATTGGCGAAATGGACTTTGCTTCAAGATACCTCAGGCGTGTGTCTTGATTGCGACGTTTAAAAATCTCCGATTTCACTTATTTTTAATGAAGGCTATTACACATATCCTGGAGATTTTCAGATAATACTTTTGAATAAATCTGAAACATTCACAAAATGTCTCAAGGAGAACTGGTTGTACTTAAATGAGAGATACGCATTTTTCGACTTCATCAAGCAATATTGCAGGGAGTGGCGGTTTTATTTAAAGTTCGAACCTGTTCAGAACCCATATACACATCAATATCAGTGGCTTGGCGTGAATTGAGATGTATCGATTACCTATTATGCCACTTAAACCTATGGTAAAGAATCAATCATTAAGGTGTTCGCTGCGAACACCCTGTTTATAAATCCTTTTCCATAGGTTTAATTGACATAACACTCGATATATCGCAATTCACGCCACGCCACTGATCAATATCTCACTGAAACCAACGATGATGAAAAAATGTAGAAAAAAGACATTTGTCGAATAAAAATACCAAACAGAACACACGGTTTCAGGACATTTTTTGTCCGCGCACCTTTTTTGTCCAGGATTTTACGCCCACACGTAAAATAAGCAACAGTGACTTGGTGACTTACATACTTAAAGAATTTTTCCATCAATTTCTGCGGAATAATTAATTTTTTTTTTCTACTTTCAGCACAAAATACTTGCGAATTGTTGCATTCAAAACATCTGGAAAATGTTTATTTATTTTTTTGTTTTTGGGGAGGGGGGGCATATGATACTGTTTTCAGTTCTAAGAGGGCCAGGCCCCCCTGGACTCCCCCTTCGTTTGTCTATGGCAACGGAGTTGAGCCATGAGCCAGTGAAGTCGAGGATGCCCAGACTGGAGACTCTTAGCATCTGACGACGGAAGAAAATGAAACGCAGTTACTAAAAATATCCCTCTGTACTGAATATCTTGAAAATAGATAGAAATTTCCCAAGAAGTATACTTCTTTGAAAATTTAAGAAGAATTCTACGGTGCCCCAGCGTGTTTCTGAAAATCTATTCACCTTTTGCGAAATTTTTAGGGTAAATTTTTAACTTTTTTTACGAAACAAGGGTGCATGTGAATTCGGAGTGGTTTTTCACGGGTAATACGGGCCCCCTCCGGGGCCCGGGCCCCGGTACCAGGGACCCAGTATCCCCCCCTCCCCCTTGTGGCGGGCCTGTATATATGTATAGGTACTTTTTTTATTTTTTTAATTTTTTCTTTACGAAATTAATACTTCATTTTGAAAACATTTATATTTTTAAAACGTGACAAATATTTGTAAAACCTTTCCCAAGCGACATTAATCTCAATGAACCGCAGTTGTGTCGACAGAAACTGCAAAAATGAATAAAAGAGAAAAAAAATCAAGAAGCACGCAATCTTTAGTTTTAACCCATTTGTACATCGATCTTTTAGAGTCAAATACGTCAAGTTTTGAGCGTTCGTTGCGCGCACACCTCGCTACAGCACAATAAAAGCACAAAATGTAAAAGAAAAAATTAAAGTGCTTTGAAAATCATGAAATTTGGCACGGAACCACCAATATTTAAAAAAACACACATCATATTGTTATTCTCCTTTGATAAATTGATACATATTTTTTCCCCATCAATTTTAATGAGAATAATCAATGCAAGAGTGTGCTAACAATTCAAAATCATGAGTTAAAAAACGCGGACTATACGAGTATAAATATTAAAGCCTAACAGAGCGGAGCGGCGCGGCGTGCTGCCAGCGCGAGAGGCTCACTGGCGCCTAAAAACCTAAGTGGATACTTCACGCATTGCACAATGCTTGATGTATGTAGGTTTGCAGGCGCCAATGCGCGTTTCGCGCCTCCAAACCTAGGTGGATACTTCAAGCATTGTGCAATGCGTGAAGTATCCACCTAGGTTTGTAGGCGCCAACGCGCGTTTCGCGCTGGCCGCCCACCCGCCGTGCGGCGGCGCTTGAAGCAACTATTTCACAAAAGAGGTGTTGCACAGTATTAAATGAAATTGAACGTATTAAGAATGGCAGGCATCCTTTAAAAGTACAGATCTTTCCTCGCAAAGTAAATCAAGATACTTATCGTACACAGGAAAAATCTAAGAGCCTTAGCTGAGGCAAATAGAGAGATTCATCCGGTTCAGGTATAACAAGGTGGGAATTTCTTGAAAGATAATTAAGTCCTGTTCCACCAAAGTGGTGTAGAGAGTTTTAGTGAATTTTGTCTCATGGAATTGACGCTCCCCCATTTTTACCAAAACTCTCAACTATATATTATTCTCCGTTGGACCAAACAGACAAAACAAATAAACAAGCAAACCCTCATTCTTCCAACACGTTATATATTTTAGTCCAAAGACGTCGTGAGCAATTGTCGTTTGTATTTATATGCGGGGCAATTAACTTTCGATCTCAACTGGCACGTGGCACTCCCGTGCCGAAAAAACGCGTGGACGTAAATTACTGGAAAAAACAGGTGCGCGGACAAAAAATCGTTGACGAAATGTCCCATAACCGAGCACATACCTTAAATTAGTTGGGAAAAGGTCGACCATTATGCAATACACCACACTAATTCCTAAACTAGTTAGAGCCTCAAAAATACACGATAGGAGGAGATTCTGGTTAGATGTCTGCACGAAGTACAGGCCTACGGTCACTCCACCGCTCACCAACATACAGAACACTGAAAGAAAGAGATAGAATGATTCATATTGATTAATAAATACGAGTGTTACAAAATCCTCTATTATCTAATATATAGTAAGTAAAAGGTAACAAAGTACAAGTAAAATATATTGCCCGCGTCTTTCAATCGTTTCAGAAAAGACAGATTTCAGCTCTAGGTACACTGGGGGAAAAAAAAACACATTGGATCTAAAGTCCAGACTCTTAAAAACATCGACAAGAAAAAACACTCTTGATTCAGTCGGATTTTAGCTTAAATCAAGAACCATGCCTCTTAATTTGAGTGGATTTCCTTTTGATTTAAGCAAAAATCTGATTGAATCAAGAGTTTTTGTTCTTGTCAATGTTTTCAAGAGTCTGGACTCTAGATCCAATGTGTTTTTTTTCCCCAGTGTAGGGCGAATGTATCAACAATCCCATATTGACAGCGTACAGTGAAACTACCAAACCACGAATCTCGTCAGCGGTGTTTAAAAGATATAGTATGGCAGGAAGTCTGCAACGTCGCAAACCGAGTTAAGTGGTCTGGTATAGTTTAACCGTCGCCATTCATCGATGACTATTTCATCAGCATTTCGTATGGAAATACGCAGCCGATCGGATAAAAAATTAGCGAGCCTTCAAATCTTTCTATATGCAACACGCATCCATTGAACTTGAACACGAAACGCGTAGGTGATCAGGTAAAAACATCAAAGAGCCTTCAAATTTCGTTATATGCTACACGCATATACATTGAACACGAATAGTTGCACTAAGGTTAATCATCCAAATTCATAATGGACCACTGGACAAGGTACGAATTTCAGCATTCCGATATATGTTTCGTAACTAAAATTTCACGTAGAACACGATGTGCACAAAAAAATAACCGAAATCAACTCCTTACGAAGATATTTAATGATTCTTGATGCGTGAATTCAAACCACCCGCTCGTGAAAACTCAATGCTCTACGTGATTCACATCGCGCACTAAACGTTATCATGACAGTCTCTGCGATATAAAAATCTGGCAACCTCAATCTTGACGCTTAAGCTCAGCTATAGCAAATTGCTAATAGTTTGAACAACACATGGTGTAAAATGAACATTACTCGATTGAGAAGCTTGCTGAATTTGTTGTAGTGCGCGATTTGACTTGCGTAGAGCTTTGAGTTTCTTGTGAGCGGGCAGTTCAAAATCCTCGTAACCAATGTGAATTATAAACGTTAATATCTTTGTTAGCAGTTGGTTTCAGTCATTTTCGTTGTTTAAATCGTGTTTTACGTGAAATTTTGGATAATAAACATGTATCAGATTGCTTAAATTTGCACCTTGTCTGGTGGTCCATTGTGTCATGTCCGTTTGAAACACAATTAAGCTTTTGATGTGACTTATTTCTATAGCTGTGTATAATTTTGTATTCCATTCTTTAAGAATTTTTGTCAGCGCAAATTTCATACGTATAGATTTTGCATACCCAGGAAAAATTTGGCGCCGAGTTTATGGACGCAAAGCGGGAGCCACAGACTGGTCGGAATGCAAGCGAGGCCAATGATCAAAGTATGTGAGAAGACAGAGCTGTCGATGGTTTCCGTGCAATGCTCGATGGCGTTGATGGTATGGGAGGAATTGGAGGAGACATAGACGGACGATACCTCACACACAGACACGGAAGGACTGTGCGGGTGTTCCCTCTCATAGTGGTCGAAACGGTTGAATAGCTCGGGGAACCACAGCATCAAAGTGTAGTAGCTGAAACACCAGGACAGGAGGTTCTTTGATACTTGGACGATTTTAATCAAAATCAACCTGACTCATCAGGCGGTACCTCACCATACTGCCGTGCTCAAGAAAAACGCCGTATGAGCCATCAGACATTGCCAAGTTTCCCTCAATTAAATACGAAGTTATTGGAAAAGTCAGGAATCTTTTTATACCAATTTTTCGGACTGCATTTTTCGCAGTTTAATCTAAAATAGATATCTGAAAATTTCAAGGAAATACATATACATAACTTCCTTTCAAAATAAACATTTAATCGGAGGAAATTTGGCAACTCTCGAATGTTCATACGGCGTTTTTCCTTAGCTCGGCAGGATAGAGTATATAGAGTCGTAATGTAAATGGGAGAGCTGGCGCCATGTTCTGGTCGACGAGTTCTGAGCCCGGTGTGCGCCGAGCTTCGTTCACTTTTTCGATTCTCGATCCAAAATGGCAATGTGGAGTACGTGGTAATTTCTATCCTTTGTGTTTACATCAGATGGCCGGGCCCCCGTGTATCGAAAACAATCGGGCAATTCAATTTAAAGTGCGGCGCAAAATGCATATTAGCGCCTACAAGACCGTGAGAATACTTCGCGCATTGCGCGTATTCTACGGTGCGCGCTTGACACGTATTAGCGCCTACAAGACTGCGTGAATACTTCACGCATTGCGCGTTCTCTATGGTGTGCTATCTAGACCGTGTTTAGCAGAGAGGAACCAAGCCACAACAGCCACACTGTCTGTAGCTGGGCGATTTGGACTGCATTTTGCAATTTGGACCTATAAATTCTGGCTCATCTGAAAAAACACTTATGTGCATAGGGAAACTAATGGCACATACGTTGTTTTTAAACCGGGCCGGAATTTATAGGTCCAAATTGCAAAATGCAGTCCATTTAATGTTTAACAATCGAGTATGTATCAAAAAATAAGTGACCTGGCGTGACACAGGGGGCTCGGAATTCGGGACCTGGAAAATGCTTGAAAGTGGCGCCAGCTCTCCCAATTAACATTACGACTCGATGTACTTCACTGAGAAAAAAGCTCGGTAGTATAAGCCGAACATTCGATGTTCCGTGGCACTCCAATTACTGTATTCGGTTTGTCAAACCGAACTTTCACTGAAAAAAAGTCTCATAGATCCTTAGATCTTAATTTTATTTCAATACTTTCATTGCAATGTGCTACTTTGGGCGTTAGTTGGTTGGCAGAATTATCCGTAGGAAACAATAGGTAATATAAGTGACCTGTGCCATAGCCCTGATAATGAGGCTCTCATGTACTAAAGTTAAAATAAATAAAAATAAATAAATAAAAAAGTCACAGACTAACCCTGTGATTCTGTTGAACGATTTCAACGAGAGAACGTTTTCTTTCCCAAACAAGCTAGCTCTTTTTGGTTAAACACCGTCGAAATCCAGCCAGTCACTCATGGCTCGTCAGAATTCGATGTAGGTATTGAGTTTCAAACACAATTCCTGGTGAGATTTGCGGGCAGAAGGCAACAAGTACGTGTCCCATCACCAATTTTCGAATTTTCGAATTTTCGAAGAGAATCGAAACACGGTCAACGAGAGTGTAGTTAAATATTTTTTTAAATCACAAAATATTTGAAGTCTCGAATGATTTAAAACTAACCTCGAGGTGATTCCAAACTGAATTAAACAGGCGAGGATAGTGTTCTTTCGGTAAGGTGGGTAGAAGAGCTCCAACGTCTGGTATCCGACCTCTCGCAGAAGAAGTTTCACGTCCTTCGGAGATTTGACACTTTTGACGCTCCTGACAGATCGTTTGGATTGGATACTTATGATACTAACTCTGGGCGCCCTCTCTTTCAAATTTGCAACCTGTAATAAAATGAATATGATTTGCCCTTCAATAAAAGTTCTCGACATATTGTGATGTAAAACTCATCTCATAACGCTGAAAGATGTTCTCTTGAGAACTTTGCACTAAAAAAAAGATTAAGCATATTTCCATAGATGTGGCTACTTATGGTCACAAATCGGTGACACTCTGTTCAAAAGGTGCGACTGAATTTCATAGCGAAGCCCTGTAACGAATTAATGGAGCGGAGTGACAGCCGAAGAGGCTTAGTTGGACTGCATTTTGCAATTTGAAACTAAAAATTTTGGCTCACCTGAAAAAACACTTATGTGCACAGGGAAACTAATGGCACATACGTTGGTTTTAAACCGGGCCAGGATTTATAGTTCCAAATTGCAAAATGCAGTCCAATTGAACCGCGTTAAGCAGGAAGAAATCAAGCCACATCTGCTTCTGTGAAATTTAATGGGGTAATTTAAATTTTTTACATGAAAACGGTTATGCGGATTTTTTTTTATATTTGCAGATTTCAGTGAATTTTCTGCATGGTACGAAGCAAATTCCTGAAATTTAAAAAAAAAAAAAAAATCCGCGCAACATACTCTTGTAAAAACTTTAAATTGCCTCGTTAAATTTGGCAATAGCTAATGTGGCTCAGTTCCTTTCTGTTTAACGCGGTCCACTTGCATCGCAGCATTTCATAATTTTACTTGATAATTTTTTCATTTGCCAACAGTATTTCTGCAACTTTTTCAACAAATTTGTGCGAATTTTCCTCGTGGTTTAGAGAAAATTCCTCGGAATTGTCAATATTTAACACGCCCTTATCAATGCTTAAAGGAATAAGCTGTTAAGTTTGTAAACTTTAAAAAATTGCAAAACAGTTGAACCTCTTCGGCACCTGTTTTTCGAACGTGAAAATTTCGGGCTCAATCCGTTGTATGGGCTCCTCAGTTATAGGAAGAACGTAATTCCATTCCAAGGTTGCAAAAATAAACACCAATACAATTTTTTACCCAAATATGAGTATGCAGTTTTTGTTCAAAATGTTGCTAATTTCTGCGAGTAATGGGAAGAATGATTAGTATTGAAAATGTCTAATAGTTCCTCCATAAAAATACCATTTCCGAGCGGAAATTTTGCGAGGTTGAAATAATATATGTTCTAACGTCTGGGAAACGACAAATTGCAAACTGACTTGCACTCTTTCATCATCTGAGTGACAACAAAGTAATTGGACTATAAACATCGGAACAAGCGAAGCATACGGCAAGGATAGCCATACCGCCGTGTTAAGAAAAAAAACCGTATGAAGATTCGGAGGTTACCAGATTGCTCGTGATAAAATATTTATTTTTGCGTAAATCAGAAATAACTTCCCTTGAAATTCATATACTTGGGATGAAATTGCGACTAGAGTCCTGTTAAAAATTGGAAGGAAAATATTCAAAAATTGAAAGTGCCGGTTGCAGAAAGGGCATTTCTTAGCTGTGATTCCTCAGAATCTTCGCTAAAGTTTCATCCGTTATAATTAAAGAAAATCGTACCCATGGAATTCGTTGAAACTTTCACTGAATTTCCTTCATGATTTTCCCACGCTAAAAACGAAAACTTTTAGAAAATTCACTGAAAAGTTTCACCTCTCAAATTTAGATAATCTGGAGATTTTGAGACACCGCAACCAAAAAATGCCCTTCCTGCACCCAACGCCTCAATCATTCTAAAAATTCGTATTTTATCGATGAGAATTTGGCAACGCCTGAAGGTTCATGCGGAGTTCCTC